GTCCAGAGACTGTGAATCTGTTAACTCTCTCTCTCCTACTGTTTCTTCTGCTAGCTGTTCCCCATCCAGTATTTCCCAGCTTCTGCTTTCTGAGCTGTGCCCCTCTGCAAACCACTGTTCCAAATCTATACAGTGGTACCTCCGGCTAGGAACGGGATCTGTTCCAGAGGCCAGGCCGTATCCTCAAAATTTCGTAACCGGAGGACCACTTCTGCGCATGCGCGAGTGGCAAACCCACTTCCGGGTTGGCCACGTTCGCAACCCGGAGATTACATAACCCGAAGATAATGTAACTTGAGGATCCACTGTACTGTCCCCCTGCTCCTTGGAAGAATTAGGATTAGGATCAGGGGAGGGGGTGGTTCCCACCATTCTTCCTCGCTGCAGCCCTCCTCAGCACGGTCCCTGACATCAACTAGGTGAGGGGGCAGAAGAAGGGACCAACCATTAGCTTGCAAGGCGCCATTACTTAGGTGCAACTCTTGCAACCCGGCTTCTTCTTTGGGGATGCTGATGAGGACACTTAAGTGTCCAGCTATGGCCCTTGTCTTATAAGTTCAGCAACCTCCTCCTCTGCTGGATTCTAACCCTCACGGGGCACAAGACTCCAAGAACTGGAACGGACTCAGTCATCATCTAGACTGACCCAACTCACACACACCCCGCAACCTACAACACCATGTTCTGCTGAGGTGCTTCTGCTTGTAATGCGGCTGTCTTAAACAAACCAGACACTTTTCTGCTCAGAGGATGACAACTGCTGAAATCTAACTGGGAACTGAAGGGAGGGAGAATGGCGGAAGTCCAACTGAGCTGAACTGGGGTATTTTGGGTAGGGCTGCACAGCTGGAATCTCCGGAGTTTGAAAAACAGGAAGGCCATCTTTGGGTCAGGAAGCACGAAGCAAGGGAGGAAAATTTACAGAACACTGGATTCACAGCTGTGAATGAGGAGAAAATGAAACTCACACAAGTGCTTGGTTTTAAAAGTGTTGATATTGGCATGGGTGGCCAAACTTTTTTCAAAGAGGGCCAGATTTGATGAAGTGAACATGTGTGAGGGCCGACCAAAGTTGTTGACCTTTTTTTAGGTTTAAAAGATTGCAGTTGTTGAGCTTTTGGGGGGATTTTAGCCCAGGACACAGGGGCCGGATTAAACTGACTGGAGGGCCAGATTAGGCCCCCGGGCCGGACTTTACACATGCCTGGCTTAGGGTCAGTGAACTTCAGAAACCACCTGCTCACAGATGGATTCCCCACCTTTTCTTCTCTGATCAGCTTCAGGGGTACCACCCTCTCTCTCTCTCTTGGTATCAGCCAGGCATTTAAAAGAGACAGGGTCTCCTCAGTGGCAGCACCAGGATTGGAGAATTCTTCTAGATTCCCTCTCTTCTCCGGCAGATCGAGGTTGGGCATTCATTGCATCACTGAAAAAGAGGCACCATTCGCATTAAAGTTGCATTTTCCAATTTATACCGACAGAGGCAAACTTAGAAGCTGGTATCAAAATTTAACTAGAAACACAAAACACCTCACCTTAATAGAGAACACTGCAACCTGCAGGCCATCCCATTTTGCTGCCCAGGTGCTGACAACGCACCTTGCCCCTTTCTAAAATGTATTTATTGGTGAGTGTTTTTCTTTTAGTACCAAAGAATAAAATCTACCAAAGAATAAAATATAATAAAAGTGGGGTTAACGGATTTTCTCAGGACGGTGGAGGTTGTGTGTACTGTGTCCCATTGAGGTAGCAGTCGTGGCACTTGCCCTGTGGATAGAAAATGTTCTGTGGTGGTGTCAAAAAATGGGGGGGGGTGTCATGGAGGGTCAGTTGGCGGGGAAGTGAGAAACATAGCTGTCAAGCGTCCCTTATTTGGCGGGACAGTCCCTTATCCCAGCGCCATGTCCCGCTGCTATCCCTTATTGATGATGTCCCTTAAATAAGCTACTGAAGGTAATGGGGCTCTTTCTATGTCCAGCTGTCCAGCTGTCCTTCAACAACAAATTGCTGCTGTTTTTTTGTGTTGAATATATGCTATATGGTAATTTATGGACCTAATAGGTATCTAAAGCCATTTGCACGCAACAAAATATGTATTTTATCAAAGTAATTTTTGATCCCTTATTTTGGCTGCTGATCCCTTATTTTCGAGGCTGCTGGTCCCTTATTTTCAAATCTGTAAGTTGACAGCTATGGTAAGAAATATCCCTCTTTTCACCGGAGGACTGATGGAGAGTACGTTATTGTCCTTCTTCCGGTGAATGTGCAGAGCCAGAGCTTTGTTTTCGAATGCAGTTCTTCTCAGAGAATAGCAAGGTCTTTGTCGTGAGCCAAAAAGTTCCCCAAGCGCAGACGGCTATGATGTAGCTGCAAAGATCCTGACCATCACTTCTGCAAACCCAACCGCGAGGCTGCTGAGCAAGGCCGAGACCTTGAGGCCTCTTCTGGTTTCTCATCCCTCTCACGCCTGAAGGCCACCACCCCTGAGCAGCCACAAGTAGGCCACCCTCTGACCACGACGCCCACACGACAGGCTTTGGAGCAGCCGAACGGTGCAGATGTCTCCATCCTCCGCTCTCAGGTTGGCAAGACAGCAGGCTGTGGGAATGTCTGCAGAGAGGAGAGAAGTATTGCATTTTGACCTAAGTTCTTGCAACCGATTGCTGAACACCGAAGGCTAGCGGCGTGCTTTTTTGTGATGTGTTTTCAGCTTTTATGAGAATAGAGAGCATTCCCTGCCCCCTTCGCTTTGAGAAGACGGCTGTCTTGCTTTAGTTTCAGATTCAAAGCTTCCTCATAAGAAAACCTTCCATACTGAGCCCATGACCCTTTCCTACAAACAAAAGCGAGGTTTTCGTCTGCATGGTCCTGAATAAAACCTTCTTTTCAATAGGGAACTGTCTCACGCTGTATCAGTCCATTGTTACTGAAATATACTCAGAGTAGAGAGTGGATTTCATGCTCTTTATTTGGCTCATAGTGGTAAGGAGGAATGGAAGTTCCCCCAGAATATCTGCTTTATATACATTATTTACACAATGGGCCCCACATGATTGGCTAGTTCTGGGATTCACCTGTAGGCCAATCAGGTTGCGGATTGACTTCCACCAGGAGCTGGATTGGGTGGCTCCTGTGGACCAATCAGACTGCTGCATTCTGAATCCTATTGTTCTAGGACCAATCAGACTGCTGCCTTTTGGATCCTATTCAACTCAGTACATAACAGTTATGGAGTTGCCTGGGACTGAACTTGAAATCTGTTCCATATAGAACAGGTGCTTGACCACTAAGAACATAAGAAGATCTTGCTCGATCAGGCCAATGGCCCATCTAGTCCAGCATCCTGTTCTCACACTGGCAGACCCTCCAAGTGTCCCTATCTACGAGACCGCCTCTCCTGGTATGCCCCGCAGAGGACCTTAAGGTCCATAAATAGCAACACCCTAGAGGTCCCGGGCCCTAAGGAAGTCAGATTAGCCTCAACCAGAGCCAGGGCCTTTTCAACACTGGCTCCGGCCTGATGGAACGCTCTGTCTCAAGAGACCAGGGCCCTGCAGGATTTGATTTCTTTCTGCAGGGCCTGTAAGACAGAGTTGTTCCGCCTGGCCTTTGGCTCGGAATCAACTTGATCCCCTCCCCCTCTTTCCTTTTTCCTTTCTCCTTCTGTGAGGGAACTCCTATTTGGGGACTTCCCTGGCTTTTTTCTGGCCCACGTAGGACCAGTCTGGATAGTTGGCCTTGGTGAAGATTTGACGTTTTCATTCCCCAAAAGTTTTTGATTTGAGTTTCTACTGAAATGAGGCTGCATTTTAATGTTGTATTTTAATCAATTGTTTTATACCTGGGGTTGGCCGCCCTGAGCCCGGTTTTGGCTGGGGATGGCGGGGTATAAATAAAATTGTTGTTGTTGTTGTTGTTGTTGTTGTTGTTGTTGTTGTTATATTCCAGGGTTTACTGTTCCGGATTTACAGAAACCATCCTAGTTTCTGATTTGATCCTGGAATGTCCCACTTTTCCTTAGGACATCCCTATTTTCATCAGAGAAATGTTGGAGGTTTTGCAATGGCCAGGCAGATACTTCTTGGAAGTATCCTGAGCAAACAGGATCTGAGCATAAGAGCAACTCTTCCCTCCTTTGGCTTCCAGCCACTGATATTCAGAAGCATCTCTGCCTCCAGCTATGGAAGCAGAGCAGAACCATCATGGCTAATTGTCCTTCTCAGATTTGTCTCATCCTCTTTTATATCTACCCTAGTTGATGGTCATCACTGGAGTGCCACAGTTTAACTGCAAGCCGCATAAAGAAGTATTTTATTTTGTCTGCCCTGAATTGTTCAATGTTCTGATTGACTGTAGGTCCACGAGACCCAGCTCAAGAAATGTTGCTTCTATCAACAGTTCCTTATTTAGGGTAAAAGCTGCTGGCCCTGTTTGTTTGTTTTTTGGAAAACTCAGCTGTTTGTGTTATGGTCATGAGTTTATGCTCATGACTTCTTGGTCAGGAACTGAGTGTCTCCTCTGCGTACAGTCAAAGCAAATATGATGATTAATCATAGACTACAGAGAGTTTTAACAAGCCCTTATACCAGTCCTTGGTGGGGCTCACATCTTACATTCCTTAAATTTTTGGGGTGGGAGGGAATGTTCCTTTCTGCCTCCTGTTTTTTAACTGGTTACTGAGCCTAAAAAGGACCTGCCTTCTTATTCCACAGCTGCCAAGATTACTCAGAAATCTTTACAAAGGGCAGTGCTTTTTTTTCCTGGGGGGACGCAGGGGTACGCACACCCCTAAACATTATGTGCATCTAAGTTTGGCCTCATTAAGAGGCAGTATTTCAATATGAGTAGGAAAATTAGAGTACCCCTTGTCGCAGGAAACCCCCCCCCAAATCATTCAGTTTATACAAACTCCACACACACACACACACACACACACACACACACGACATACGCTACGCTTCTGTTATATATTCATAGAAAATCAACCATACATCAGATCTGCACCGTTCCACTTTTATTTTACTCCATGAAGGAAGGACTACAAAATGGGGAAGGTTTGATACAGGGCAGCCATTATCCCTTGAGCATACCAGCACATACACAGGAGCCCTACCCAGTTGGCATGACAACCTTGATGGTCCCAGACAGAAGACCATCAAGGTCACAAAGGACTTGCATATGGGAGTGGATTCAACACGGACTAGAACAAAGGACAATGATCAGATCTTCCCTCTGGGGGCAGGAAACTGCCAACTCCCCTTTGTCCTCTCGAAATGACTCATGGGGAGGGGGAAAGGAGGAACCAGCGAGGTGACAAGATATTCAGGTTACCTCCACAACTCCTCCCTCAACCCCTCCTTTTTGTGATGTGTCAATGATGTAGTCATGATGTAGTTGTGATGTAGTTCTAGGGGTGTAGTTTGGGGGATTAGTAACTGATAAAAGTTGGGGTCTTCTTTTGTTCTGGGCTTCCATTTTGTTTCACCTGGTGGCAGGTGGGAGTCCTGTCGCGATAGTCTTAAATAGCCTACTGGCTGCTGTTTTGCTCTGATAGTTCTGGCTGGTGTCCTTGTTTTTTTTGTCCAAGGGAGCCCTCAGATTCCTCCGTTAACACCCTAAACATTATTTTTAGAAGGAAGGAAAGCGCTGAGTAAGGGAATATATAGAAAGCCTTTTTCTTTTCTTTTCTTTTCTTTGTGGTTTTTAATTCTGAAAATGCAAAGACGGTGGGTTTTTTTAGAGGAAGGTATTTACATAGGGTTTTTGAATATCATGGTTGTATGCAAAATAATTTTTAATTAAATTTTTTCTAAGCCACACAGAAAACCTCGTGCTACGCAGCAGCATGCAAATGCCAACAACACAATTAAAGGAAGAGGAAGTAAAGAGGAATAAATTTCACACTGTGACATAATGAGCACATGATAATCTGTTCCCCCTTACATGATTTTGGTTATTTTTGCTACGGATTTGCAAATGCCAAAAGAGGAGGCTTGCAACAACAACACAGTGAAAATTTCTGGGACTTCACACAGAGCAGACACTGTCCACAGCTGGACTGACGGTTGTGTATTTAGTGGCTTCACTGCTTCTCCGGTTAAGTTTTTTTATTGCTGTTTTGGGGAAACAGCTATAAAAAATACCAACAGAATAAACCGAGTCCTCTTAAAGGAACTCTCTTGACCCTTACCCACCCATAGAAGGCATGCCACTTTGAGTTACTTGGGGGGAAAGTTCAGGAAAATTGGTCAGCATTTTGGTTCCCGTGGGTGGCGCTGTGGGTTAAACCACAGAGCCTAGGACTTGCCGATCAGAAGGTCGGCGGTTTGAATGCCCGTGACGGGGTGAGCTCCTGTTGCTCGGTCCCTGCTCCTGCCAACCTAGCAGTTCGAAAGCACGTCAAAAGTGCAAGTAGATAAATAGGTACCGCTCTGGCGGGAAGGTAAACGGCGTTTCCGTGCGCTGCTCTGGTTCACCAGAAGCGGCTTAGTCATGCTGGCCACATGACCCGGAAGCTGTACGCTGGCTCCCTCGGCCAATAAAGCAAGATGAGCGCCGCAACCCCAGAGTCGGTCACGACTGGACCTAATGGTCAGGGGTCCCTTTACCTTTATCCTACAATGCCCATATTTCAGTGCAATATTCCCTGATATTCAAAGGACTGCAAGTGCTTTCCCTTGACTTTGTGCATTTTCATATGCCATTTTGGCCAATTTTTGTACACACTTTTCCCCCCTAATGCCACATTTTTTAAAATTTTTATTTTGCACAGATATTTTGGCTGGAGAACTGCATTTGCAAAATTTGGAGATGAGCAAATAATAATAGTAATTCAAAATGCGAAGGCCGGTTTCGCTTCGGTTTTTGACTCATTCCAGGGTGTGTGAGTTGGGTAGATAAAGGAGCTTCATGCTAAAATAGAAACCAGACTGAGATTCTTCCTTCTCTAAACTCCAGGCAGGGAATCCCCTACGTGCAGTGCTTTCTTCTGGGGAGACGCACACCCCTAAACATTTTGTGAATCTAAGTTTGGCCTCATTGAGGGGCAGTATTTCAATACGAGTAGGAAAATGAGAGTACCCCTAAACATTTTTTTTGGGGGGGGGAGTAACATGTAACCCCCATTACTCGCAAACATATGTAAAAGGGAGGTGAGCAGGTCTTTACATTTATTTTTCAATCTTTGCTAATCCTGTGACTCACATTCCTTTCCTTGGTGGTTAATAATAATTAAAGTAAACAAATGAAGTTTTACATTGTGTATATCTGCTGGAAAATGTAAAGGCGTATCTTCCCTTTCCTGACCACAACTTTCAGTCTGACTTAGTTACCTGAACCTGAAGCAGTTGCTAACTCTCTTAAGCAGGGCTTATCGGAAAGCAAGAAGGTGGTCATCTGTTATGTACTGAGTTGAATAGGATCCAAAATGCAGCAGTCTGATTGGTCCTAGAACAATAGGATTCAGAATGCAGCAGTCTGATTGGTCATAGAACAATAGGTTTCAGAATGCAGCAGTCTGATTGGTCCACAGGAGCCACCCAATCCAGCTCCAGGTGGAAGTGAATCCGCAACCTGATTGGCCCACAGGAGCCACCCAATCCAGCTCCAGGTGGAAGTGAATCCGCAACCTGATTGGCCTACAGGAGAATCCCGGAATTAGCCAATCACGTTGGGGCCCATAATGTATATAAAGCAGACATTCTGGGGGAACTTCCATTCCTCCTCACCACTATGAGCTGAATAAAGAGCATGAAATCCACTCTTGACTCTGAGTATATTACATCGTCTATAATGAGGGTGGGGGCTCAGGCCTGGGAGCCAGATGTGGCCCCCTAAGCTACTCTGTCTACCCCCTGAGACTCTCCCCACACCATGTCTCTCACATTCCCTGCTTTGCACCTTCCTGGGGGTCTTTTTGCCTGACTGGAAATATGTCCTTGAACTCCGATCCTGCCTCTTGCTCTTGTTCTAAGAACTTTAAGGTCTCAAACCGGGGTAGGCAACCTAAGGCCCAAGGGGGTCATTTAACCGGCCCATGAGTTGCCCCCAAACTGAGCCGCCTACTTGGCGAGTCCCCATGTGCTGCACAGCGTGGGGATGCGCTTCCACGGTGCCAGAAGCTGTGTCTGCGCATGCATAGATGCCAGAAATCGCATCTACGCAGACACAGATGCTGGAAATCTTGGGTGCACGCATGAGCGCGCACACACAATCCAGCCCACAGAGGGATCTGCGCTGGAGTGAACCATCCCAGGTGAGGTAAACCTTGCTGACCCCTGGAAATATAAAATAAATATTCATAAATACACACATATCTAAATATATTAACCATGTGTCTGAAATAGTACAGGAGAGCAATCCTGAAGCCATTTTGACTCTCCCAGTGACCTCAAATATTCCTCTGCTGTAAGGGGAATGCCTTTCCATTGTCCTTTTGCTTGCAAATCCTGTCTTAAGGGCGCATTTGCATATGAATAGGGTGAGCCTGTGACCTGGATTCAGGAACTAAAAGTATTAACCATAACAAAAGAATGGCCAGGCTGCCCAGGTAAGGCAACCAGTGACCATTATCAGGTATCCTGGCAGACAGGATTTCTGTTGTGGACCGCCTCCTTCTGTGATGTATGCATGATGTTTTGGGAGGCGGTCTTGGGCTATAGGGTGGGCAGTTTCAAGGGCTTGCACACCATTGTTCAGGGTTCTCCTCCCTCCTGCGTGTGGTGAGTGGGGACCCTGTTGCAATAGTTCCTTGAATAAAGATCAGGCTTACTAGCTGCTTTGCTTCTCAATATACTCTGGTTGGCCTCTGTTATTTTCTCCTACTGATAGGGAACCCACTTTAGGACTCTGTATGGGTTCCAGAATACCCCATAAGGAAAAAGGAGCAGTTTTTCTTATAACACTGTTGTTGTTAGGGGTCTTTTTTTGGAGGGAGAGCCAGGATACCGCTCAGCAAAATAGGAGACTAAGGATGGAAACTCCATTCAAATAATCCTTCAATCAAAACTGAAACTTTGAGTACTCCCCCCCCCAAAAAAAAAAATCCATCCAGAAATAAAATGGTCCATTCAGCAGTGATCACAAGATGCTAACTGACCTTTCAAGTGAATCTCAAACTTCCCTGGAGGAGTAAAAAATCTGATTAGGAAGGGATTTTCAAGCCCACAGTAAGATCATCAGTCTTGAGTTACCCTTAATTCTACAAACTAAAGAGGAGGAGCTTTGAGTGGATGACAGACCAGCTTTTGTTTTAAACAAGGATGACCAAAGCTAATGCGAATTCAATATGTTTTAACTGTTTTGATTCTGAATTTTAAAGTGTGGTAACCTACCCTGGGGCCTGCTGGTGAAAGGTAGTTAATAAAGTTCATAGTGATGATAATCCATACTGTCAGGCTGAGAAGGGGGGAGAGATAGGAATGTACAGGGAGCCAGCTCCTTTAATGAGCAGCTGCATTTTATCAGAGAGAGAGGAGTAGGAGGGCCTGTCAGGAAACACAGAAACAGAGAGAAAGGAACAGCCTCCAACGCTTTGGTTTTTACGTAAGGAGAGGAGGAAGGGGGGGGGCTCAGGAAGTTTCTATGCTGGAAAAGGAAAAGCCACAAGCCACTTCTGGCAACTGATAGCAACTGAGGAAGACATGCTTTTAAGAGCTCCGTACTGTACATAGTTTTTGGACTTAATAAATCTTGTAAAAGCTGGCTGGAATCCCGGGTTGTTATCTCGGCTAGCACCCACATACCACCCTGACACAGACAATTATTATTTTTGCATGCAGTTGTGCCTAATGTACACTCTTTGGCAAAGAACCACCCTGACAGAATGCATCACAAATATATACTTCTCTAGGCACAGTTTCTCCTGATATACCATTTTTGTTTGAATGGAGAACTGCACCACAGAATTCGAGAATGTGCCAATTTGGAAGGGCGGTTCTGCTTCACATAGTATTTCGGGAAGGGCAAATGAAAGAAGAAGAAGAAGAAGAAGAAGAAGAAGAAGAAGAAGAAGAAGAAGAAGAAGAGTTTGGATTTGATATTCCGCCTTTCACTCCCTTTAAGGAGTCTCAAAGCGGCTAACATTCTCCTTTCCCTTCCTCCCCCACAACAAACACTCTGTGAGGTGAGTGGGGCTGAGAGACTTCAGAGAAGTGTGACTGGCCCAAGGTCACCCAGCAGCTGCATGTGGAGGAGCGGAGACACGAACCCGGTTCCCCAGATTACGAGACTACCGCTCTTAACCACTACACCACACTGGCTCTTTGCAACTCAAATGCAAGCTGATCTGAATTTCCACCCCCTTGTCACAAATGCCTTCCCTTCCCCCAAAACAGCGATATTCATTCCGTTCCCCCACAACGTCATAAGCAGACAGCTTGGTCAGAATGCAACCACGAAAAGACGAAACTAGAATTCGTGGGCAGTGGCGCATTGCTTTTGATGGGATGATGCAAGAAAGACTAAGACTCGTATGAACCAGATGGTTGTATTAGCCTTGTTGACATGAGATGAGATTTAGCTGGGGGGAAACGTCCTCATTCTCCAGTCCAAAGCTCTGGTGCTCAGAGAATCAGCAGTGGTCTTAGACTCAGCGGTAAAAAATCAGCATCGCAGACTCCAGCAACTGTTTTGAAACACTCCAGCCAGTGTGGGTGCCGTAGCCTTCCCAGTCGAAGGCCGTGTAGTCGCCGCACTGCCGGCTTGATTCTGGAAAGTACCCTCCTCCACCGACACAGAACTGGAGAAAGGAAATTTGGGAGAGTCTAGCTCGGAACTGGGAGTGGCCTTCATCATATTCGGCATCGCCAGCGGGACAAAGCAGCTCCCAAACTTATCCTGCCTCTTTTATTACTATTCACCGTATTTTTCACTCTATAAGACGCACCAGACCACAAGACGCACCTAGTTCTTGGAGGAGGAAAACAAGAAAAAAAATATCCTGAATCCCAGAAGCCAGAACAGCAAGAAGGATTGCTGCACAGCAAAAGCAGTGATCCCTCTTGCTGTTCTGGCTTCTGGGATAGCTGCACAGCCTGCATCCGCTCCATAAGACGCACACACATTTCCCCTTACTTCTTAGGAGGGAAAAAGTGAGTCTTATAGAGCAAAAAATACGGTATTTATCACACCTTTTTTTTCCTGCAAGGTGGAATACATGGTTTCCTCCCCCCCCTTCGTTTAATCCCCGCAGCAACCCTGTGAGGTAGGTTAGTCTGAGAGGCAGCAACTACCCCCCACTCCCACCCCAAAAGGTCAAACCCAGTGATCTCCATGGCCAAGCGGGGATTTGAACCACAGTCTCCAAGGTCCAAGCTCTAACCTCTACGCCACCCCGGGAGTGGATCTAAACACAGTGGGGAAACCACTATAAATACAGTGGTACCTGGGGTTACAAATGCTTCAGGTTACAGACACTTCAGGTTACAGTCTCCGCTAACCCAGAATTAGTACCTTGGGTTAAGAACTTTGCTTTAGGATGAGAACAGAAATCGCATGGTGGCAGCAAGTGGCCCCATTAGCTAAAGTGGTGCTTCTGGTTAAGAACAGTTTCAGGTTAAGAACGGACCTCCGGAACGAATTAAGTACTTAACCCGAGGTACCACTGTACTGCATTTTTTCGTTTATAACATGCCCCCAAGTATAAGACGCCCCACCCCCTATTTTGGGGACTCCAAATTGAGAAAATGGGGGGAGATTGTATCCATGTATAAGACAACCCACAATTATCAACATAATTTTAAATTTTAAAAAACCTAGTCTTATACCCGGAAAAGTACGGTAAGCCAGAAATTATATTGTTTTAAATAAAAGGAGAAAAAAATCCAAGGGGAAAGCCAAGGGTGTAGGTAGGTGGCAGCGGCTCACCCCGGGTGTCATCCCTAAGAGGGGTGACAAAATCCCCCCTGAGCGGATCACACCCCGCCCCCTTGGGCACCGATCACCCCCAATGGCCGCTGATTGCAGCGCTGCTTGCCCCCAATGGGCACCAAGGGTCCCCCTGAGCAGCTAGCTCCACCCCTGGGGAAATCTCGTTTTAAACCATTCCTTCTCTCTTCCGCCATCTGCTGTTGCATGTGTAAAACGTGTTCAGTTCCTTTTTTCTTTGCTAATGTAGCTGCTTTTGAATTCTGGTGCTGGAGGAGACTCTTGAGAGTCCCAGAGACTGCAAGAAGATCAAACCGATCCATTCTGAAGGAAATCAGCCCTGAGTGCTCACTGGAAGGACAGATCCTGAAGCTGAGGCTCCAAGACTTTGGCCACCTCTTGAGAAGAGAAGACTCCCTGGAAAAGACCCAGATGTTGGGAAAGATGGAGGGCACAAGGAGAAGGAGATGACAGAGGACGAGATGGTTGGACAGTGTTCTCAATGCTACCAGCATGAGTTTGACCAAACTGCGGGAGGCAGTGGAAGACAGGAGGGCCTGGCGTGCTCTGGTCCAGGGGGTCACAAAGAGTCGGACACGACTAAACAACAACAACAATGTAGCTGAGTCCTGGCTCTCTTTCCACCAACTTACAACTCACCATTTCTGTGTTACAGCCGGTGGCTTTGATCCCAGCACAGAGCGCCATGGCAGCTTTCTCGTTGTTGAAGACCCGGAACTGTATGTAGCCAGCGACAAATTCACCTGGAAAGACAGAGAGGCGGGGAGGGAGAACACAGTCTTGGTGGCTGAGAGCAATTGACAGCTTTCTCCTCCTCCGTGAATTTGTGTAATCCTCTTTGAAAGGCATGGGGACAAAGCTCACGTCCGCAACACATATATAAAACGGATGATGCACATTCAACTTACCTTTAAAGCACAGAGCTCTGCCCCCCAAAGAATCCTGTGGGTTCTAACTTACCCCTCCCCAAGCTACAATTCCCTTAACAAACTAAAGTTCCCAGGATCCTTGTAGGAAAATCCATGTGGGTGTATCTTCAGACCGGAATGGACTTGCCTCTGGAATTTGGAGAGTAATAGAACGCCGTTTGCTGTGCATTTCCGGTGTCGTAGACGACAGGGACTATGGGGCCATTATTAGCTGGGCAGCTGCCAAGCCCAAACTTGACTGGGTATTGCTGGAAAGAAGAACAAATGGGAAATAAACCAGAGAGAGAGAGAGAGAGAGAGAGAGAGAGACCTTGGGCTGTTCAACTTAGATGCATACAAGCCTGAGCATCAAATTTGTTTAAAAAGAATATACAGTGGTACCTCGGGTTAAGTACTTAATTCGTTCCAGAGGTCCGTTCTTAGCCTGAAACTGTTCTTAACCTGAGGCATCACTTTAGCTAATGGGGCCTCCTGCTGCAGCCGTGCCGCTGGAGCACAATTTCTGTTCTCATCCTGAAGCAAAGTTCTTAACCTGAAGCACTATTTCTTCGTTGAAGTGTATGTAACCTGAAGCGTATGTAACCCAAGGTACCACTGTAATTGCATCATCCTCCCTGTGTCCTTCCTTATTTACTTATTAATTTGATCACAAGGACATAAGAAAAGCCTGCTGGATCAGAGCAGTAGCCCATCTAGTCCAGAATTCTATTCTCTCAGTGGTCAACCCGGTGCACCAATGGGAAACCCTCAGGGAGGACCTGGGCACAAGAGATATTCTCCCCTCCTCCGGTTTCCAATAACTAGCATTCAGAAGCATCTACAGCCTCCAGACAGAGGTGAAGCTAGCTGCTCCGACACCCATCCGGCACATGCTGTACACCCGAGGGTTGGGCCATGGGGGCAGGGCGAGCGTCCCTTTTCCATGTTTTCCGTAACAAAGTCATAACAGAGGGCAGAGTGAAGTTGTGACGGGATGGGAACCTGGACCTCTGAGATCTACATCTGAGGTCTTCGGGTATTTAGAAATCTGCTCTCAAACACACACCGCCACATCCTTTTGAGAAGTCTGGGCTAACTGAGGCACTAAATATTGACTGTCCATTCAGCCACATCAGTTACCTGATAAAGCCCATGAAGGTTCCCTCCTTCTACGGACAAGAATCCGGTCTCGGTGTGATACCTCAAGAAGGCAGAGTCACGCCATTCCCTCATGGGGGTGTTGTTTGGGACATGCCAGATGGCCATATCCCGTGCTTGGAGGTCAGAGTAGCCTGGATTCTGTAAAATATCAGAAGAGGGTAGGAGAAAACACCTTAGGGCCTTATTCTGCAATCAGAGTGCCTCAGTGGTGGATTCATAATGGACCATCCGCACAAGACTCTGCTTTAATACGGGTTTTTCGCTCTATAGGACGCACCCGTCCATAAGACGCACCTAGTTTTAGAGAGGGAGAACAAGGAAAAACAATTCTCTCCCTCTCTGCGCAGCGCCCCTTCAGTGAAGCAGCAGGAGAAATGGAGCCCCTTCCATTTCTCCTCGCGCTTCGCTGAAGGGGCGCTGCACAGAGAGGGAAAGCTGTGCAGCGCCTCTCCAGCGAAGTGAAGCCAGGAGAGCAAGAGGGGTTGGTGTGCACCGACCCCTCTTGCCCTCCTGGCTTCAGGGATAGCCGCCCAAAGCCTCCGGAGCGCAGCGGCAGCTCTGGAGGCTTCACGTTGCTTTCGCTGAAGCCATGGAGCCTGCATTCGCTCCATAAGACACGCACACATTTCCCCTTAATTTTTGGAGGGGGAAAAGTGTGTCTTATAGAGCGAAAAATACGGTAGTTGTTCTGTGATGCTTCCACAAGGTTAACACATTGCTGCCATCTAGAGGGATGACTCCATAACGCAACCAAAGTGGAATAAAAAGTTAGGCAGGAAGTTATAGGGCAGGGGTCAGCAACCTAAGGCCCATGGGCCGGAAGCGGCCAGCGGAGGTCATTTGACCTGTCCACAAGCCCCCCCCCCAACTGAGCTGGCCAGAGTGACTAAGCTGCTTCTGGCACAACAGAACACCGTGAAGGAAACCAGAGCACATGGAAATGCTGTTTAACTTCCGGCCACAGCAGTACCTATTTATCTGCTTGCACTGTGTGCTTTCGAACTGCTAGGTTGGCAGGAGTTCGGACAGAGCAACAGGAGCTCACCCCGTCGCAGGGATTCAAACCGCCGACCTTCTGATCAGCAAGCCCAAGAGGCTCAGTGGTTAGACCACAGTGCCACCCATGTCCTCAAGAAAGGTAACAGAGCCTCACCTTATAGTCATCACACGTTGAGCCCACAGCCGTCCCAAAGGTGTTGTTATTGGACCAGTTGCCTTCTCCACTTGGGTAATTGGCAGTGTTCCCTTGTTGACTAGACCAGCGGTCTCCCAGGGTGCACTTCCCATAAATGTTGTTCTCGTGGATGCTGGCCACCAGCGTCCAGCCGCCTCCGTTGGTGGACATGTCGCAGAAGGTTTGGTAGATCTCACCGTCCTCCGTGCTCAGGAAATACAACCCATCTGCCAATGAGCCAAACAGGCTATCGTTATGACCCTCTCTCCGTTGGCGGCATTGACTCTGATCACGTTTTGTAATCCTTGCCGCGTGGAGATTCCTCCCCTCCCTTCGGTAGCTCCACAGATAAGAATTTACGAGCATTTGATATATTTATGGTCCTTTTATTGCAGCATCATGTCACAAGCACAAATATACAGCTCTCCGCAAGGAGAGGCTACTCTAAATCCTTCCTCCAACCTCCGCAACAACTAAGTTCATCCCTCCCTCTGCCTCTTTTGCTCCCTGATACGTTCGGACCTCCGAGTCCACGGTGAGGGTGGTGTCCCCCACACTCTCAAGTGACGTCTCAGCTAGCTGCACCCTCCCTTCTGGCTCCCTTGTCATTATCTCGCAACTAGGTAGCTCCTCCCTAAGCTGTTCAGCTCCTGTTTCTCTCTCTCTGCTTCAGGACACACTGTGGACAAGGGGGGCGACTCTTCCCCCTACAGCTCTCCATCAGAGAGAAGCTGGTCTGCAATAGAATGCATTCCCCGGTTCTCATTTTCAGACCATTCCCTGACACAGCAGTGAGCACAGAATCAGAGAATTGTAGAGTCGGAAGGGACCTAAAGGGGCATTTGGTCGAACCCCCTTGAGATGCCTACAAAGAGCCTCTGATCTGGCACATCTCCTTCTGGCTTACCTACCTGGAGCTCCTTCCAGAGCCGTTTTGATTTCCTTGCAGCTCCGAGGGAGGGTCTGGAGGAGGTTTGGGACGAGGCCCTGCTGGTTCTGGAGGCAGCTGGCATCTTCCCATTTGACCATCAGCTTGAGGATGTCTCTTTTCAAGGAGGCGATGCAACCGTCCGTGTCTGCGCAGAAGGGGCTCCTTATTAGACTCAGGAGAGGAAAGGTGGAGTGCATTTATTGGGGAAAGGGGTGGGAAAGTGTTTTGTGGACCTCTCAATCTACAGTCATACGTCCTGTTACGATAGCTTCAGGTTGCGTCCCACAGCGACCCAGAAGTAATGGAACGGGTTACTTCCGGGTTTTGCCACTTACTCATGCGCAGACGTGCAAAATGACGTCATGCGCATGCCCAGAAGCGGCGAATCATGACCCGTGCATGCGCAGATGCAGGTTGCTTTCTGTTCAGGTTGCGAATGGGCCTCCAGAACAGATCCCGTTCGCAAGCAGAGGTGTCACTGTAAAGTCTTCTGGGCGGTCTTATTTCATGCCATCACCATGATAAATTCTCATAATCCTGCACCACATTCCCACCCAGCTGCCAAACACCGCCTCAATTTAGGATGTCTGATGAAGAGGAGGATCAGACACTAGGACTGCTGTGGCTAAAGAACCGCTTTCCCCCTTAAAACCATCTGAGGATCTGTGTCCTACCTTCAAGGGAGGTCCAGGGGTTGGCGGTGAGAGAACAGGGCCTTCCCTGTAGTAGCCATGCTGTTAAGGGAATGTTTCCCCTGGCAATTTGACTGGTGCCAATTTCATCATCGTTTCAGTACCAGGCAAAATCATTTTTTTCTGTTTTTCTAGGCAGTTGGGTAGCACCAATGACGTTATGTGACACTGTTAAATCTCCTTTCTATTTATATTATTATTTTATTTCTTACCTTGATTGTAAATCGATTTGAGGCTTTTTTTAAAATCTCCCTATATAGAGCCATACGACTGGAAAATCCCGGACTTTGCACGGCGGAAATTTCAATAAAACAATGAACAGGAGGGTGGTGATACAATGGCTACTGCAATCGACACAAGTGATAAGTTTTCTTCCAAAAGAAAATAAATGAGCACTGAGCCACTGATATATTACAAGTGAGCTCTTTACTCAATGCATTTGCAATTGTTTAAGATAAAACCTATTTGGAAGAGAAACTACTTTGGCCATTTGTCTGGAAGTTTATTTTTGTTTACAGATAGTTGCATTGGTGATATTGTCTTGTGGCGAGGGCGGAGATCTCAGCAGCCTTTCGAAATGTCTGGGGAAACTTGGGAATTATATCGACTGACATGCCTGCCGCTAGGAAAAAAGGTTTTCTTATTTGCAACCGCTACGGCCAGAATGATTATAGCAAAAAATTGGAAGGGAGAAAAAACTCCCTCAATGAGAGAATAGCAAATAAGATTTTGTGAATATACAGAATCAGCAAGACTTACAGCATTGGTAAGAGGCCAGTCAGACCAAAAACTGATAGAGGAGTGGACTTGCATGAAGGAATACATCAAAAAAACATTGTTCTGGTATTAATATATCAATATGCAATGAATGAAACTTATAGGGTAAAAAATTAAGAAGAAATGGGTATAAGATCAGATAGTCAAAAATAATATGGATAACACAGCGAAAAGAAGAAAAGAAACAAAGGAAGGCGCATATAGGTGGAGGGAAGTTAAAATTTATGTCTGTATGTTTAGTTTGTATGTTTGTTTTCTTTTTTTGTAATCTAAGTTGAGAGATGTATGTATCTATGTATAATAAGAGTGTTTAGTGTTTTGGTTTGTGTTTGTAAGTATTGCATTTATCAATAAAAGTTAAAAGAAAAAAAGAAACTTGGGGGGAAATGTGCAAGCGGGTTTTTTTGCTGAAATGTTTAAGAAATTGCTGCAAAACTGGGAGGGAGGGTTGCAAGAACTTTGGTCAATAAACTTTGACACTGATGGAGGCATTCTATGTCTTGCATATGTGTGAGAGAGAAAGAGAGAGAGAGAAAGAAAAAGGGAACTGGGGTGGAGAAGGAAATATGTTTTTGTCCTTTTGGAGGGCAGCTGTCTGTGAGAGAGTGGTCTTGAAACATAAGGTAGTGTCGCCCTTTTGTTGATTCAGAAGCAGAGAAGGGAAGGAAATGTCAGTGTGGTTTTAGGGAGGAAAATTGAGGCAATTAAAGCTTTACAAAACATTATGTAGCTAGTTCTCCCCTCTTCCCCTATGAACATACATAGACTTACCACACTCCAAACCTTTTGGGAAGACAATCACACAAAGCAGAGTGGCCACAAGCGCCTTCATTCTTCTGAGTGGGAGAGATCAAGTTTATTTCGTGAGAATCTCTCTTCACCACCTACAAAAAAAAGGTCTCTCAGGCAGAAATCCACATGAACCTGACCTTGGAAGAGTTTGTAAGTAAACTATTTTTAACTTACCAAATGTGTGGTCTTTTTCTGTGCTGGGGGAAGAGGGAAACTCTGGTACTCACTTTAAAGGGCACATTTTAAGGGTCTAGCACCCTCTATCTTCACACTTTGCTGAATATTTTGTGACCATAAATCTCTGCTGAGGTTCTCTCACCAAAGAGTACCAAAGTACTCTTTGCATCCCAACAAAAACTGCAATGTCAACAATTCCAATTTCCTGATTCAGTCCACAATCCAAGGAAAACACACCATGTTTACACTTTCTGAAAAAAATATGTGAACCGAAGTACAGCCATCCTTTTAAACTGGCACTGAATTTTGCAGCGAAGTCCTCCAGCCAGCAAGTGTACAGTATATACAAATAGATTGCATATACTATTGTGAAGTGTGCATAAAGATAAATACACCTGTGACTATTGCATGCAAAAAAATACATTATATTACAGGAAACAACTTTGTAAAAATGTGTCTGTTGGACATATCCATATGAATGTGGATATCAGGAGAAACTTGCACTAAAATGCAGATAAATTTTCATGTTAAATAAGTTGGAGTTCTTGTTATTAAATACAGTGGTACCTGAGGTTAAGTACTTAATTCTTTCCGGAGGTCCATTCTTAACCTGAAACTGTTCTTAACCTGAAGCACCACTTAAGCTAATGGGGCCTCCTGCTGCTGCCACGCCACCGGAGCATGACTTCTGTTCTTATCCTGAAGCAAAGTTCTTAACCTGAAGCACTATTTCTGGGTTAGCGGAGTCTGTAACCTGAAGCATTTGTAACCTGAAGCGTATGTACCGTATTTTTCGCTCTATAACACGCACCCGACCATAACACGCACATAGTTTTTAGAGGAGGAAAATCTGTAGGCATGCCACCTGTAGGTATTTCCTCCATAACACGCACAGACATTTCCCCTTACTTTCTAGGAGGAAAAAAGTGAGTGTTATGGTGCAAAAAATACGGTAACCTGAGGTACCACTGTATACCAGAAAAAAGCACAGCAAAAACTCAGGCCAATGCAAGTTTCAATAGTGGGTGTGGTCCCTACTCGCAAATCAACAGTCAATTGTGACAAAAACTAATCCATTCAAAAGTATGTATTCTGACAAGGATTACAGACTCAGATAGAGATTACAAACTCAAACAGAGATTACAAACTCAAACTCATAAAGATATGTATAACACAATAATTCGTTACAGAATTAGAGATAAGAGTTGAAGAGTAGAAATAAGTTCATGTTAGCCCATAGTCAGATTCGACATGGAGTTTCAATCAGTGAGCAGAAATCAGGAGTCAATTATGGATCAGAAACCAGGACAGGGCCCTGTTTCGAAGTATTCACCTTCATCAGCTAATTTTTAAAGGGTCATGTAAGTTTGAAGACTTTTGGATAAATATATCCTGTTATTTTCTCAGGGATCACAACTACATGTGGGTAGATCAGCATGTATCTTGAGCTTTTCGGTGTGGAAATAAGTGTGGAAATTTGGTGAACCACACTTAGGGCTGAAAACATCAGGAACAGTTTCACTCATTTCTGCTCCTGGATGATACGAGGTTGCGCAAAAATGCTTTCAGACTTTATTTTGGAGCAGCAAGCCTCCTCCACCCGCCCACCCCTGCTCCAAAGTTCTTTGTTCCAGTTGCAAAAGCGGAACTGTCCCCAAGGCATGAGAAATGCCTGTGAAATAAATCGGAGGGAAAGAGAACAGACTAACATGGGGAGGGGTCATTTTATTACAAAGCCAGGCCAATATTATAGAGGGCAGAGAGAAGGGGAGAATTTTCAAGGCAAGCGAAATCTTGCTGTGGGTGTGGCATAGACCACCCCTTCAGCCAGACAGGATGGCTGGGCTCTTGCAACTAGTCTCCAGACCACAGAGTCTTGCGCCTCCTTCCCAAAGCCTGGCATATTACCAAGGTCTGCCCCTAAAGAGAGGGCTTTCTCCAGTGACAACCCCTAATCTGCAGAATTCACTCCCCACAGAGGTCTATTCCAAAGCTTCAAAATGTAGTTTCTGTCATGTCATTAAGACCCACCTCTTTATCCTGGCCCTTGACACCACATGTATCTGTATATACCGTATTTTTTTGCTCTATAAGACTCACTTTTTCCCTCCTAAAAAGTAAGGGGAAATGTGTGTGTGTGTTATGGAGTGAATGCAGGCTGCGCAGCTATCACAGAAGCCAGAACAGCAAGAGGGATTGCTGCTTTCATTGCGCAGCGATCCCTTTTGCTGTTCTGGCTTCTGAGATTCAGAATATTTTTTTTCTTGTTTTCCTCCTCCCAAAACTAGGTGCATCTTGTGGCCTGGTGCGTCTTATAGAGCGAAAAATATGGTATTTGCCATGCAGAAGGTCCCAGCTTGGTTCCATGGCCTCTCCAGATAGGTCTGGGAAAGATGGTATTTTAGATCTCACCCTATTTTTTTGGACCGTAATTCGCATTAAACTGGTGTTGTTGTTCTTGTTGTTTTATGCTGCCAGCATCCACCCTAGAACCTTAAGGTGAAGGGTAGGTAAGGAATCCAATTAATGATCATGAATTAATGAATTAATAGCTCACCCTTTCAGCAGCTCAGCTCGTTTGGAGTTTCTAAACTGCAGCTTTCAACGCCGGCCGTGGAAATGGGAGGAAAGGCGCTGGCGTTCTGCCAACTGCCCTCTGCTTTAGACAAACGGACCTTAGTCGAGGATGAGGAAATCTTTGCAGGTGACCAGCAGTGACCTGGGCTTCTTGGCGCACACAAGGCAGGAGGGCAGTGGATTGACTGCAGAAGGGATCATTCTTTCTTTATTTGTATTTCCTTCAAGTATTCCTTCCAGGGCTTACCATCTGCAAATTCTGCCACCAATCTTTCCAACCCAGTGGTCCCCAAAGAGGATGGTACAGCCCCCTGCGGGGAAATGAGATTACCTGGTGGTGCTGAGAGCTAAGAAGGGGGCAGGGGGGCACTGGAGGTGTAAATGTCTATCAGACGTTGAAAACCTCGTATCAGTGGGTCACGTTCATCATTTTTTGTTAAACTGATTAAACTACGTAGTTTTAGTTGGATTTTGAATAAACATGCAATTAATTGTTACAGCTTTGATTTTTATTGCTTTGCTTCTGGTGGGCTGTGCGAGCCACTATTCTAAATAATGCTTCTTATAGCATAAAAGTAAAGGGAGCCCTGACCGCTAGGTCCAGTCGTGACCGACTCTGGGGTTGCGGCGCTCATCTCACTTTATTGGCCAAGGGAACCGGCGTACAGCTTCCGGGTCATGTGGCCAGCATGACTAAGCCGCTTCTGGCGAACCAGAGCAGCACACGGAAACGCCGTTTACCTTCCCGCCGGAGTGGTACCTTATCTAATTGCACTGGCGTGCTTTCAAACTGCTAGGTTGGCAGGAGCAGAGACCGAGCAACGGGAGCTCACCCCGTCGCGGGGATTCGAACCGCTGACCTTCCAATCGGCAAACCCTAGGCTCTGTGGTTTAGACCACAGCACCACCTGTGTCCCTTCTTATAGCATATTATCATTTTATTTATTAAATTTGTATACCACCTCTATACCCATAGATCTCAGGGTGGTTCACAACATAGGGTAGGGGGCACTGGGGTTGAGTTTATGGAATCAAGGGTGCGGGGGACCAAAAAAAGGTTAGGGAGCCAGTGAGCTAAGTTCTTTGTCCACACAAGAGCTCATGAAAGGAGAGCTGGAGGCTGCCGGGAAACTATTTCCATTCAAATACATAGGTGCTGTGCCAGTAATAGCATGGATGGATGGATTAGCAATATATCTATTGCTTATTATTGTAGTTTCTAAGGGCTGTGCAAGAGCAATATAGCATAGAGTCAGTGAACATAAACTGTGCATTTTGTGTGACCATGACAGCATTTTGTTTATGCAGCTATTTTGTACAGAGTTTGCAGTGTTTGCAATTTAATTCAATTTCCTGCCCAGATCGTCTGCCGTTCTGGCTGCCAATTTCTCACTACACGCCTCCAAGCCGTTAAATTAACTTCAGCACGCCCTCTTGTGGGTCGTTGGTTTAAAACACTTTATAGAGTGACCCTCTGTAGAAGAGTGAAGTCCTGTACCTTTAGAATCACAGGATCATAGAATTGCGGAGTTGGAAGAGACCATGAGCATCATCTAGTCCAACACCCTGCGCTGCAGAAATCTCGGCCAGATCATCCATGGCAGGTGGCCATCCAAACCTTGGTTAAACTGTGCATGTGATTTAATGGGAGAGGGACATGGACTTGCCTGTTTTCACCGGCCCTGTTTGTCAGAAACACAACCGTAGAGAGAGAGATTATATTGCACATTTGGTGACTGGAGCGGCAATGAAAATACGCATGAACTGGTGTACTGAAAGTTAGGAGGAATGTCTGAATTCGAGATACAGGGATCCTCTCCTTTCTGACTTCATTGCTGGACACCCTGTTTTGTATGCATTTCATTTTTCCAACGGAAGAGAGACACCCCCTGCCCTCTTTAAGGCGAGTTATTTTTAGCTTCACCTGTTGCAAGCCGGGTGCTTAAAGGAGAAACAGATGAGAGGAAATGAAGGCTTCAAAAATAGATGTATTTTTAATGCCAAACACTTGAGGATTAACGGAGGCCGTACGGAAGCAGTTCAGAAGCAAACACTGTCAGTGCTGGAGGCAGGTTTGGAGAGAGCACAATATGGGAATATGCCTCGTACCCAATCATTGTGACGTGACGTGGCTTGAAGGAATCAAAATCTAGAAATTCATTGCAGGCTACGTCACCACACACACAAACACACACACTCATTCTTCTTCCCCTTTTAGTTTCCAGGTCATTCCACGCCAAATCAACTGATTTTAATATTTGACCGTGCTCTCACAACTCAGATTTTCTTCAAAAAAAAATAGCTATAAGATAGCTCGTAGCTATGTAGATAGCTATGAGATAACCTCAAATTAATTTTTTTAGATTTTTGGTCCAAATTTGGGTGCAGGATAATTTTTTTGATAATTTCGATTTTTGAGTGATTTAGGCTAATGCAATTTCTCTGTCAGTTTAGAGAAAACCTCCTGTTTCACTTATTTTTCAACTGGGCTTATTTTGGTATCAAAAGAAAGCTAATTGTGGTCTCTTTCCACATCTTTCCAAAATAAGGTATAAAAATGGTATTAAGTGCCACAGAAAAGGGTCACCAACCATTCAAAGTGAATTTTTGTCATTTTATTCCCGGTAGATTTTATTCCCGGCTGATCGCCGAAGAATTGATACTTTTGAATTCTGGTGCTGGAGGAGACTCTTGAGAGTCCCACGGACTGCAAGAAGATCAAACCTCTCCATTCTGAAGGAAATCAGCCATGAGTGCTCACTGGAAGGACAGATCGTGAAGCTGAGGCTCCAAGACTTTGGCCACCTCATGAAAAGAGAAGACTCCCTGGAAAAGACCCTGATGTTGGGAAAGATGGAGGGCGCAGGGAGAAGGGGACGACAGAGGACGAGATGGTGGGACAGTGTTCTTGAAGCTACAAACATGAGTCTGACCAAACTGCAGGAGGCAGTGGAAGACAGGAGGGCCTGGCATGCTCTGGTCCAGGGGGTCACAAAGAGGCGGACACGACTAAACAACAACAGATTCGATAAGCCATAGCACACAAACCACAACTAGCACATGTTTCATACTTTTTTGTAGAATGGGCTAACCATGTACTTGTTATGTTTTAAAAATAAGGAGGGTGTTTTTGTGTCAATAAAATAAATTGATTTTGAAGAATATTTTTTACAAAAAAATATTATTTGTACAGGTTTAAGGTCTCTTTGAGCCTGAAATAACTCACACATTTGTGAGAATAGTTGAAATTGTACCCTCTTATGTTACAATGTCATCTAATATAGTTTAAAAATTCAGTTTTATTGATTATTTAATAAAAACAAAATACATCTCAGAGCCCTTACTCATTTTATTGTGTAAAACACTTCTGCAATGATATGGTCAAAGCTATTTTGTTTCCAATACATGCGATATGGTCAATGATGGACCAAAAAATCTTTAAAAAAATAATTTGAGGTTATCTCTCAACCTAAAAAAAAATTGAGTCGCGAGAGCACATGGCACCAAGTGATTTGGCGTGGAATGACACTTCCATGCAACATCAATAACGGATACCAATGACACCATCAGCAGATTACATTCACAGTCTCCACGGACAAATGCAACCTCTCTTAAAGTCTTCAGCTTTAATATATTAATCATTTCCCCCCCCCTTTCTTATTTACATTCCTTAATAATTTCCCTCCCCGATCAGATCCAGTAGGTTTCAATCAGCACACGTTATATGGGCCTAAGGTTGCAATGCACACATCAGCAGTATTAGAGTAAAGGTAAAAGGACCCCTGACCGTTAGGTCCAGTCGCAGACGACTCTGGGGTTCCGCGCTCATCTCGCTCTATAGGCTGAGGGAGCCAGCATTTGTCCGCAGACAGCTTCCGGGTCATGTGGCCAGCATGACTAAATCGATTCTGGTGAACCAGAGCAGTGCACGGAAACACCATTTGCCTTCCCACCTGGAGCGGTACCTATTTATCTACTTGCACTTGACGTGCTTTCAAACTGCTAGGTGCGCAGGAGCTGGGACTGAACAACAGGAGCTCACCCCATCATGGGGATTCAAACTGCCGACCTTCCGATCAGCAAGCCCTAGGCTCTGTGGTTTAGACCACAGCACCACCCCGTCCCCTAGTATAAGAGTAAAGGTAAAGGTAAAGGGCCCCCTGACCATTAGGTCCAGTCGTGGACGACTCTGGGATTGCGGCACTCATCTCGCTTTATTGGCCAAGGGAGCCAGCGTACAGCTTCCGGGTCATGCGGCCAGCATGACTAAGCCGCTTCTGGCGAACCGGAGCAGCGCGTGGAAACACCGTTTACCTTCCCACCAGAGCGGTACCTATTTATCTACTTGCACTTTGACATGCTTTCAAACTGCTTGGTTGGCAGGAGCTGCGACCGAGCAATAGGAGCTCACCCTGTCACGGGGATTCGAACTGCTGACCTTCCAATCAGCAAGTCCTAGGGTCTGTGGTTTAGACCACAGCGCCACCCGCGTCCCTTAGTATTAGTCTTCCTCATATCAGTAGGCTTGTCCTGGAGTCAACAGGCCACGATGTCAGGGCTCACTCCAGAGAGGAATGTTCTCCTGGGCATGCTACATTGAGATTTGTTGATTCAAGACTACCGAAGCCATTTTGCTGCCTGAGATGGAGGAGAATCATAGCATTGTAGAGTTGGAAGGCACCCAAAAGGTTGTCTAGTCCAATCCCCTTCAAAAATAACCCAAGATGGTGTCCCCCTTCTGGTTCATGTAGAGAAGGCTGTTGGATTGGCAGTTGACTAGAGATGACTTCAGTGCTAGAGATGGTGCCATGACCTTCACTGTACCTGAGACGAGCAGGCGAGCTTAACAGGGTGTCAGGCAGAACATGGGGCACACACACTAAGAGTGTAAGCAGACATAATTCTCTGTTCCGCCCTATATTCGCCACTTGCAGCACCAAATAATACGCCAACTGAAGCACAGATGTCATTAGAAATCCATACTTCTCCAAATTTTGCGATGCAGCTGTCTAACAAAGAAAAAGTATACAAATATGCATCTGCTAGGGTGAAAAGTGTGCATACTTTGGTAAAAAAGTGTACAAGAATGCATTCCTAGTAATTGCTTGCAAAAACAATGTGCATATTAGGAGAAATTCTCACCAAAACGCTGACAAATTTTCATGAGGATTTGTTAAATAAATAAAAAATGGTGTGGAAGTGTGACACGCTGGATTTAAGATTTGAGGAATGAGGAGCGGAGAGGTCAAAATCAACAGATTTGTCCATTTCCACTCTCAGCTTTTCCTCTCCCTAATAAAGCTTTAAAGGTCAGGGTGCCCTGCTTCCATCCATCCCAGATTCTTACAGCTTTACAGTTTGTCCTGTCCCATGTTTGCTGACGGCCATACCTCTGGGGGAGTCAACCCCATTCACTATCCTCTCAAACTAGCACCATACAACTTTCCACCAGTCCCCAGAAACCTTCAGAAGTGTAGCTGCAACGCTGAAAGGACCAATGTGATGGCGAGGAGGAAGGCCGAGCAATGGGACAAGCAAGCTGTGTCGCTTTGGAAGAGGTGGTGCTTCTTGGCGTCCGGGTGGAAGACTTTGGCGTCCTCCAAGGCAGCGTGCGCAGCCAGCGTAAAGTTGACGTCTCCCGATGTCACCACGTCAAAGACGCACGACTGGAAGTAGACGTCCTCCACCGGCAGCTTCTCCTTGCACAGGAGCTGGGCCTTCTGCGCGGGGATGGCTCCGTTGCTGCAGCAGCATTCGGTCTGGGAGATGCGCTGGCTGGGAGGGCAGCCTCCCACACACAGCTGAAGGTCCTGCTCCTCCGTGAAGGAGCGCACCACGTCCTCGGCCGCCCGGATGGAGAAAGAGAGCTGCCTCCCTGCCTGGCGCACGGCAATGGTGGTGCCGATGTAGGTGGCGAGGATCTCCACGTGCTGACCGGGTGTGCGCTCATTGATGCTCAAGCTTTTCCCTCCAGGCTTCTCGCCCCCGTTCGTGGATCCGTCCTCGAAAGCCGCCGGCAGGTTGTCGATCTCCGCCTGGTAGACTTTCTGGTCTATGCACTCCTTCATGTTCTTGAATATGATGGTGAGCTGAAAAGAGAGAGGTAAAAAGGTAAGGTAAAGGACCCCTGGATGGTTAAGTCCAATCAAAGGCGACTATGGGGTTGAGAGGCTCGACTCACTTTCAGGCCAAGGGAGCCGGTGTTTGTCCACAGACAGCTTTCCGGGTCATGTGGCCAGCATGACTAAAGCGCTTCTGGAGCAATGGGACGTTGGAAACCAGAGTGCATGGAAACGCTGTTTACCTTCCTGCCGCAGTTGTGACTATTTATCTACTTGCACTGGTGTGCTTTCGAACTGCTAGGCTGGCTGGGACAGAGCAATGGGAGCTCACTCCATCATGGGGATTTGAACCGCCGACCTTTTGATTTGCAAGCCCAGGAGGCTCAGTGGTTTAGACCACAGCACTATTTCATGCTCTCCATGTGTGGCCAAGCCACTTAATCTTCCCTGGGAGTGTGAAAGCTGTGAGCTGACCCATTTATTATTTTTCAAAAATGTGTGCAGGCAAGAGAAATGCACACTGAAACCCTGACAGATTTTTCAGGAGGAATTTTGTATGTTTGTGGGTAGTGGGTATGTGTATCTGTGTGTATAAATACATATGCATATACATACACACACACACACGGGACGCGGGTGGCACTCTGGTCTAAACCACTGAGCCTAGTGCTTGCCGATTGGAAGGTTGGCAGTTCAAATCCCCGTGACGGGGTGAACTCCCATTGCTCTGCCCCAGCTCTTGCCAACCTAGCAGTTTGAAAGCACAAAGTGCAAGTAGATAAATAGGTACCGCTCCGGTGGGAATGTAAACGGCATTTCCGTGCGCTGCTCTGGTTTCGCCAGAAGTGGCTTAGTCATGCTGGCCACATGACCTGGGAAAACTGTCTGCGGACCAACACCGGCTTCCTCGGCCAGTAAAGCGAGATGAGCGCCACAACCCTAGAGTCATCCATGACTGGACTTAACTGTCAGGGGTCCTTTACACACACACACACACACACACAGAGAGAGAGAGAGAGAGAGAGAGAGAGAGAGAGATTCAGAGAATCAGAGAATCATAGAGTTGGAAGGGACCCCGAGGGTCATCTGGTCCAGCCCCTGCAATGCAGGAATCCCAGCTAAGGAATCTCTGACAGATGGCCATCCAAGAGCCCCGTGTACTTCAGAACATATGTCCTCTCAGGTATCTCTCTTCTCCTGCTCTCTAGTTGTCCCTGTACGAACTTGAAGAGTCCTCCTAGGGGATTCGTCGCTCCTTAAGGGAAGTGGTAGCATCAGCCCTAGGCAGTTTCTCGGTTGTTGACATCTGCAGGGCAGCCACTTGGGCCTCTGCTCATACTTTTGCAAAGAATTATGAAACAGGCAGAGTTTTCCTCGGCTGACACTGCATTTGGGAGAAAGGCACTGCGGAGGGTTGTTCGTATTTGTTCTGCTGCAGAGAAAACCAGCCCTGTCCTTAGAGAATCCTGCTCTGCTGCACCCTATTCATAGAATATTCATTGGCAAAAACAAAAATTGGTACTTGCCATTAATTTCTGTAAACCGGAGGACATCCACCCACCGTTAAATAACGTTAACGTTAAATAAGGGTTTTGATAACATATATGGACACATGACGTCCTACTTTTAACGTTCATAACACGCTATTAAAATGCAACACAGGTGGGCTGCGCAGAGCAACCAGCCATCAGCAGTAGGGAGACAGCTTTTCAAAGAGGGAAAAAAAGAAAGCTAAAACCCGCTTTAATTAACAAGCATGCCCTGTGATATTTTAGAATGATATATGTCAGGCATGTCCAACCACTAGATCGTGATCTACCGAAAGATCCCCGGCTGCTCGTGGCAGATCGCGGGATCATTCCCAAAACAACCCTGGGCAGCCCCCCCTTTAAAAAGCTCAAAAACTCTGGGCAATCCTCCCCCTGCACACACACCCCACGCACGCTTCTCCTCCCTCCAGTGACAATCGGTAGATCACTGCCAGTTTTTTTATATACTGGGAGTACATCGCAGTCTCTTGGGAGATGGACGTGCCTGAATTATATTTAATATCTTTCTCATAACGTTAAAACAGTTCAGTGTAGATCCATCCCTGGTTTCAACGGAGATGTAAGTGTGGTGTTGTGTAACTTCCGAATGTGTCTCCTGTGGCATAATTTTTTGTATGGGGCATGGTGACTACGCTTTGCTTGTGTTTTTTCAGGGCCATCCTTAGCTCTGCCAGATCTGGAGGGTCTCCTCCCCCTAGAAGAGGCGAGAGAAGACTTGGAAGGCCCTGGCTATCCAGTCCAGTGGGAGGAGTGAGCCCCATATGAACCCCACCCCTGGCCGGTTCTGATATATACAGTGTTGAAATCTTAGATACTGTGGTGATCACACAGGGTCCCCAGACATTTAACGGTCTATTGATCCCTGTGCCACCACTGTGCTTGCTTCCCTGCTGCCACCAACCAGTTACTCTCTGGTAAAACACTGAGTCCAGACAGTTGTTAAAAATGAACCAAAAAAACCCCCAAGTTTTTTTTACAGACATTAACAATTTTATTGTTTCTCCGATGATATTCGTGTCAGTATCTTAACTTTAGTTTCTTTACCAGCCAATACCTTCTGACTGATTATCTCAACTGTTTGACTGACGTCTCTTAACAAATTCTCTCACTCTCTCACACCAGACTAGCCCAACCCAGACTTACCTTATCTGTCTCTTCTAACTCTAGACTGTCTTCTCCACCCTAACTCTAACTCCTCCCCCTGGGTTCCCATTGGTTAGTCATTTTACAATTAGTTAACCCTTTCCCTATGAACCCAGTATGATGTCACACTCCTAGTGTGATGGCCTGGGATTCGGACTTGGGGGCTGAACCTGAGGAATCCCAGCCTGCACAGGATTCCCCGCCTCTAGAACCAGCTGAGTTGGGGCTGGGGCCTGAGCCTGAAGGGTCCTCACCTGTGCTGGATCCTCAGGTGCAGGCACCAGCTGAGTCTGCTCTGGCTCCTGAGGTGATGGAGGACCCATTGCCTCCTGGTGCTCCACTCTCAGCCCCGTCGGGGGAGGCTGAGGTTGCCTCTGGGTCCAGTAACCCTCCAGCCTCTCCTGAGCTGCAGAGGCTCAGGGCAGAGAGGCGAAGGGAACTAAGTTCCCGCAGGAGGAGTGCTCGCCTCCAGGCCAGAAGAGGCGAGCCACCTGTGGACTGGGGCCGCCCTATGCCTCGGGGCAGATAAAAGCCAGCCAGCCCCGGGACCAACGTTGTTGGTAGCCAGTTCCTGCCTGCACCCTGTCCTGCCAGATCTCCTGACCTCACCCGACTCCCTGCCTTGGACCCTGCTTCAGCTTTGACGGACGGCCTCAACACTGCTCCCTCGGACTGGACTCGGACCTCGCCTCACGGAAACCCACGGGACCAGCACACCTAGGAGGGCAAATGCCACAGATGCAATTTGTTAGAAATACCCATAGTAATTATGAGGCTACCTCCCTGGTCACACCACCAATGAAACAAGCCATGGGAAACTTTAATGGGACACCTGTAGAGGTCACCGTTTCTTACCTTGCTAGTAGCTGTTGCGTTTGATCCTTTCAAGACAGGGTAGCTCGTCGCTTGAGCAAACAAATAGTTGTTGTCCAGGAGCGGCCAGGAACCTTCCACTCTGCATGTGTGGAACTCGTCGCTGAAGGTCCGTACGTGGGGGTCCCCAAACGTGGCGCAGTGCTGGTACGTGGGGGGTCTGTTGTGCTTCCGGGAAAAGCTCTTCTCGTAATCGCAGATCTCTGGGGGTTCCAAACCCTGGTGTGCAGGGGGTGGCGCAGGGGGTCGCCGCGGCGAAGTGGGCCCCTCTTTGGAGCACTTGTTCTGGATCATGAGGTCCTCAATGCCGTGGACGGCAGAGTGGTAGGCGAGGTCCCCACGGCAGTTACGGGCCGTCCTGCGAGTGCAGCGGGAGTAGGAGCGCAGGGTGTTGCAGTAGCTGGCGTGCTTGTTGGGGCCACGCAAGTTGAGCGTGGCGGCCACGTACTCGGAGTTGCAGCGCAAGATCTTGCAGTGGGAATATGCTGCAGGGCAGGACCCAAATAGCAACGATGGTAACGGTAGGAAGAGAAAGGAATAAAACAGCTGTGAAGATCAGAGTCAGGTAAAACGTTCTGATTTACATTTCAAAATATTCATTCAAACAGCTTTAAACCAATGACTTCCCTTCTTCTCTTTCCGTGGTTCATTTTGCATACCATACATCCCTGCATGTTTTACATGAACTAAACCAGGGGTAGGCAAACTAAGGCCCGGGGGCCGGATCTTGCCCAATCACCTTCTAAATCTGGCCCGCAGACGGTCCGGGAATCAGTGTGTTTTTACATGAGTAGAATGTGTCCTTTTATTTAAAATGCATCTCTGGGTTATTTTGTGGGGCCTGACTGGTGTTTTTACATGAGTAGAATGTGTTTTTATTTAAAATCTGGGTTATTTGTGGGGCATTGGAATTTGTTCATTCACCCCTCCCAAAAAAAAAAAAAATAGTCCGGCCCCCCCACAAGGTCTGAGGGACAGTGGAATGGCCCCTGCTGAAAACGTTTGCTGACCCCTAAACTAAACTATTCACTAATCCATTATTACTTCCATCAAAACTTCTTTTCCCTGTTGAATTTATCTTAATGCTACCAGAGTTTTTAAATGAACACAATTTTCTCCATATACTGTATTCAGTAAGCATTTTCCAGTCTTCTTTAAACGTACACTCTTCTTGTTCTCTTATTCTATATGTTAAATCTGCAAGCTGCACGTATTCTGTCAGTTTAAGTTGCCACTCTTCTTTGGTTGGGACCTCACTCATTTTCCATTTTTGAGCTAACAAAACATGGGCCGCAGTAGTGGCAGACTTAAATAGTCTTTTTTGACACCTGGGAATTTCCCTCTGAATTATCCCCAATGAAAAGGACTCTGCTTTTTTTTTAAAAAAAGGTACTTTAAAAGGTAATAAATTATAAGTTATAAGACTAAATTCTTCCGACATATAAAACAGTTCAGTGTTCATTGCAGTGCCATGCTGGCAGGGATCCACTGGATCACGTGGGGCAGCTGAGTGGGGGGTGGGGACCCCTTGTTTCACCCTCCTTCCTTGCAAAGATAACTGTGGAGAATTCAGCAACACACTCGTACAATCACTGAGCTACAGTCCTTGCCCTAAAAATAATATCCAGTCCTAAAAATAATATCCAGTTTCCCAGTCCTTGTGGTTCTGAATAAAGGGCTGGAGATTTAATATGTTTCCCTTGATGATAGTAAGAGGAAGATATTTAGCTCTCCCAGAAGCAGAGCGTCTCTGCAAATGTGGTAGGCAGGAACCTGATACGTTGGAGCATATTTTCTTTTCTTGTGATTTTGGCATTTATGCCAGAAGACAATTGTTAGAGGCCTTACAATCTAACAGGCTCGGTTCTATGCTGCCAACGGTTCAGGGCCTGCTCTTGGACAGGAATGATCAAATCACTTTAATAGTGGCTAAATTTTTGAGTGCTGTCCATGAGGAAAGACTGGGCCATTATAGAGAGATTTAGTGGTTCTTGAATTGTCGGTGATGTGGTAGTGTTATATTGTTTTATTTATGCAAATTGTTATGCTGAATTCATATTTTCCGCAATCTGTATACTGTGTTTGATTTATAATGTGTATGCCTAATAAAGAATTGATTGATTGATTGATTGATTGATTGATTGATTGAATAAAGGGCTGGTTTAAACAGGTACAGTGGTACCTCGGGTTACAGGTGCTTCAAGTTACATACACTTCAGGTTACAGACTCCGCTAACCCAGAAATAGTACCTTGGGTTAAAAACTTTGCTTCAGGATGAGAACAGAAATTATGCTCTGGTGGCGCGGCGGCAGCAGGAATCCCCATTACCTAAAGTGGTGCTTCAGGTTAAGAACAGTTTCAGGTTAAGAACAGACCTCCAGAACGAATTAAGTACTTAACCCAAGGTACCACTGTATAGCAGAAGAGTCTTCTGGATCCAGCCAATGGCGTGTCGAGTCCTTACCATGTCTACAAAGCAGGAGAAGGAAGAGTGCTTTAATGATGAAACCAGCATTCGGCGAGCGTCCCGGCCTCATGGAGCAGGCGAGTCTCCCCATTCCAATCCATCCAGAGTTTAGGAACGTTTCTTACCCAGATTGTTCCTCTCCCTCCGTTCTCATTGCTTCCTTCTTTCTTTCAGTGGTTGTCTGGAAGAAAAGCCAAATAATAATTGTAATAATAATAATAATTTATTAATACCCCGCCCAGCTGGCTGGGTTTCCCCAGCCACTCTGGGCAGCTCCCGATAGAATATATAAAACACAATAAAACATCAAGCATTAAAAACTTCCCTAAACAGGGCTGCCTTCAGATGTCTTCTTAAAGTCTGGTAGTTGTTTTTCTCTTTGACATCTGATGGGAGGGCGTTCCACAGGGCGGGTTCCACCACCGAGAAGGCCCTCTGCCTGGTTCCACGTAACCTCTCTACTTGCAGGGAGGGAACCGCCAGAAGACCCTCGGAGCTGGACCTCCATGTCCGGGCCAAACGATGGAAGGAGGAAACGCTCCTTCAGGTATGGCCGAGGCCGTTTACGGCTTTAAAGGTCAGCACCAACACTCTGAATTGTGCTCAGAAACGTAGAAAAAGACAGAAAAGACAGATTCTATACCAAACATACATCTGCATGATGGATTGATTTTCAATTCATTTATATACCACTTGATTTTTTATTTTTAAGAAAAGGAACTTCACAACAGTTTATAAAAAAGAATAAAGTTTTTTTAAAAAACCATTTAAAATATTCAAAATGTAATTAAAATCAAGGATAAGCTATAAAAAAACAAAACCAAGTTAACTACCACATGTCAACGTTCTGCTTGTTCAAATAGGCTTTCCCCAAATGGCAATGTTTTCAGCGGGAGCCACAAAGAATACAGCGAAGAAGGCACCTGCCTGAAGTCAATGGGCATGATTCTGATTGCGAGTCTTGCACTCGCCCCTTTTCTTTTCAAAATAAAAACAATACAAAGTTTCTGGCATGAACTTTGATTTGCACATTTGGTGAAATTTGGGTAGGTGGCAATTTTTGGAGAACTTGCTGTTTTTGAGGATTGCACCAGGTTTGACTGGTAATAACCCCTCCCCTAAAATGCTTAGCAGGGAGAAGACTTCCTTCAACTGGTTGGACGGTGTCTGTCCTGAAAATATAAAAGGTAAAGGTAAAGGGACCCCTGACCATTAGGTCCAGTCATGGCCGACTCTGGGGTTGTGGCACTCATCTCGCTTTACTGGCCAAGGGAGCCGGCGTACAGCTTCCGGGTCATGTGGCCAGCATGACTAAGCCACTTCTGGCGAACCAGAGCAGCGCACGGAAACGCCGTTTACCTTCCCGCGGGAGTGGTACCTATTTATCTACTTGCACTTTGACGTGCTTTCGAACTGCTAGGTTGGCAGGAGCAGGGACCAAGCAATGGGAGCTCACCTTGTCTGCTTGTATATCCATATATATATATATATATATATACACAGAGAGAGAGAGAGAGAGAGAGTCGTACTCCGCTTACATAACCGTCTAGATACATAAACTTTGGGATGCGAACGCAGCAAACCCAGAAGTATTTTTCTGGGTTTCGCCATGCACACATGCACAGAAGTGATCCTCCAGTTGTGAATTCCTCGGGATGTGGCCGGATCTCCAGAACGGATCCCGTTCGCAACCGGAGGTACCACTGTATACACACAGACAAACACATGCTATACTAAGCTACCATACAATGAAATGTTAAAATGTTTGTCTTTTTTAATTGCCCTTGAATCTTCCTGCCACACTTGCCATCCCCTCCTGCCACACACCCTGGCATAGGGTTTCGGGCACCGTCCTCTCCCAGCCCCATCTAGAGATGCCCCGTGGGGATTCAAACCTGGGACCTTCTGCTTGCAAAGCAGGTGCTCTGCCGACAGAGCAGTAGCCCTTCTCGGAAATAAAATTGCAGCATTTCACCACCACCCTGAAGGTAGATGACGCGATGCCCCTTTGGGCATTTCTCAAGAAGAGTGGATACCTTCAAGATCATAACAGCAAGCCAAAACTGGGTTTAATGCATCTTCCCTCTGAGTTGCAGCAACTGACATAAATGCTTTGCTTTGTGGAGAACGGAGGTGAGTTGCTATCATCGAAAGCCATCAATGAATCAGCACCAAGGCCTGGAATATCACCTGCCTTGAGCGTCATTAACCCTATTCAGCTGCACTCACTCTCTCTCTCTCATTCTATTTTCTTCTCCCCTTCATCTGGTTTCTGTTTGGAAAAGGAACTGGAAGAATTAACTCAGGGAGCAGGGGTTTGGGGTCTTTTTTTTAAATGAAACACCACTCCATAAACCATTCCCCCCCCCTTCTTTATAATCACACTTTCATCCAGGGATGTCGAATAACTTACCAAAAAAATCATTCCGTCGAAAATCTAACCGTAACATGCATCCTCCAATTAGTTATGCATAATGGTATATATTTTTGTCCCTACTCCTTTCTCCTAATTTTTCCCCCTTCCTCCCTCTCCTTTAATCCCTCCCCCAAAAATTGTTCTCTCTTCAAATCTTTAACCATGTGCACAGATTATTCATTCTAATTTGAATGCTTGGTTTGGCTTCCCCCAATGCTATCCAATTCCTATAACTTGTCCATTTGTTCAAAAAATTTTGACGTTTGTTTTCCCATGTATCTTCTGTCATTACCTGCTCAAATATATCAGACTGTATATATTCAAAAACATAGTCATTCCATTTTTCCATTGTCTATTTATCCTTTTCTTTCCATCCTGACGCAATAACAAGCATACCAACTAAGATCATAATTTTATACCAAACGTGCTCTTTTCTACCTCTCCATAAACCTTGCCCACTTAGCACTACCTCTGTCTCATCTTTTGGCCAAGCCGATTCTTTAAAGAAACAGATACGAAGCGATGCACGAAGATGCCTTTGAGCATGTGCAGAGTGCCCCTCTTTCACCCACTGCAACCTGCTGTCACAAGAAAGGAGGCAGCTCCCCTCTGAGGATACATATTCAAAATGGTAGATATCTCAAAACTAAGTGGTATGTATCTCTTTCCATGTGTGTGTGTGTGTGTGTGTGTGCATGTATGAAATGAAATTCAGAAAGAATAAACCAAAATGCTTACCTCGATGTGAACTAGAATGCTGCTTCGTCAAACTCCCCCTGCGGGGAAACTGCCAGCCTTCCTCCATAAACTCCCCCAGCGGCCCGCAGCTCCTGCCTTCTCGTGATAATCGAGGGGAAAAAGACATCAATTGCTGGTGGCCAGCAGCCTAGAGACAGCTGAGCCTCTGCAACCTGATCTGTCCCCCAAAAGGCAAAGGTCCGCAACAGATGCTTTAAAAATAGGTTGTAGTATTTTGGATCCCGAAAGCAGAATTTGGGGGCGGGCAGAAGGCCATATCCCAGAGGCGGCTGGTTTTATTTTAGTAACTGACACCTAGTATATACACACACACACTTTTCCTCTGAATATTAATTGCAGGTCATCACAAATGGGGAGTGATCTGCTGCTGTTCGCTGGGCCCCTGATTGGCCGCTTCGAGAACAGGAGGGTGGACTAGATGGACTCTCTTTGGCCTGATCCAGCATGGTGGCATCTTAGAAATACATTTTGCAGACCCAGAATGGGAAGAGGGAAGGGGAAGGACCTGGGAGAGATCTGCAGAAATGGAGTGTTCAGCCCTCAGGGAACTGTAGTGATACCCGTCCTCCTGAGTCGTCACTCACAACTGCGAAGAACGTGGATTAATTCACACCTACCAATGGACGCGGGTGGCACTGTGGGTTAAACCACAGAGCCTAGGACTTGCTGATCAGATGGTCGGCGGTTCGAATCCCCACGACAGGGTGAGCTCCTATTGCTCAGTCGCAGCTCCTGCCAACCTAGCAGTTCGAAAGCACATCAAAGTGCAAGTAGATAAATAGGTACCACTCTGGCAGGAAGGTAAACAGCGTTTCCATGCGCTGCTCTGGTTTGCCAGAAGCGGCTTAGTCATGCTGGCCACATGACCTGGAAGCTGTACGCCGGCTCCCTCAGCCAATAAAGCGAGATGAGCGCCGCAACCCCAGTCGTTCACGACTAGACCTAATGGTCAGGGGTCCCTTTACCCTTTACCTACCAAAGTCACACTTTCTGAAACAAATACACGAATAAAAAAAAAGTCACTCCTGCCTTCAGAATCTGCAGTTCTCTGAATTTGGCACCGCAGTTCCCCAGCCAAGTCACGAAAATGCATATACCAAAGCATACATCTGCTGGTGAAAAGAAAACACACAGAAACACCTTAACTCAGGGGAACTTGTTTTGCAAAAATGTACATTGTAGGGGGAAATTACCTCTTATTTTAGGAGACATCTTCACTAAAATGCTGGTGAATTTTCACGATGACTTTCCTCCTCCCCACAAAAAAGTAAAAGAAATCACAAACTGACGTGTCAAGGAGGAGAACAGAGAATTACATGAGGGCAGGTGAGGCCCTGGTGGAAATCTAAATTGACATATTTCCCCTGTCTTTATTCTCAGCCTCAAAGATATTTCTATAGGCCTCTTAACCACAGTTGCTCCATCTTTCCCCTTCTGTCAAAGTCTGCTGCATAGTCAGCATCTAGATTGTATCCTCCTCGGGGCAAGGGACTGTATTTGTTGTTTGAGCCGCAAAGTGCCACACACATTCACAACTCGGCATTTGCAACAAAGACCTCATCATGATAACGGGAACCAAAAACTCCCAGATTCTAGATGCACAAAATTTTGCGTGAAAAATGTTCAGCATCTCCAAATAGACACATTTTATTGTGATCTTGCCTGATATTTATTTTACACATTTTTGCAAGGCAGTTTCCCCTAGTAGATAATGTTACTTTCATGCACGCTTTCCGCTAATATACACATTTCTATACAATTTCGAAGTGTCGGAGAAGCGCATTGCAAATTCAGAGAAGTGCAAATTGCAAAATTCAGAGAAGTGCAAATTTTAAAGGATAGCTTCGTTTCACTTTGCATAGGGTTGCCATATTTCAAAAAGTAAAAACCAGGACACCCCAAAAGTTTTTAGGAAGACCCGTTTTTTAACAAAAAAAAATCCAGAACAAAGTGCCACCTTTTGGAAATTCCACCTTTGAAATCCCAGTAATGTCCAGATGTAACCCTAACTTTACGTGTTGTTTTGAGAAGCATTACAGTATTTTCTGGTGGGGGGGGGAGGCCTGTCACCAATTTGCTGTGCTTGATCTGGCATCTCTGGGTAAGGTTTAGGTCTAGGAGAGATCCCTGCTTGAAACCCTGGAAAGCTGCTTCCAATCCATGCAGTCAACTAGGTGTACCAATTGGTGGTGCTGTGGTCTAAACCACAGAGCCTAGGGCTTGCCGATCAGAAGGTTGGCGGTTCGAATCCCTGCGATGGGGTGAGCTCCTGTTGCTTGGTCCCTGCTCCTGCCAACCTGGCCATTCGAAAGCACCTCAAAGTGCAAGTAGATAAATAGGTACCGCTCCAGCGGGAAGGTAAATGGTGTTTCCGTGCGCTGCTCTGGTTCACCAGAAGCGGCTTAGTCTGCTGGCCACATGACCCGGAAGCTGTACGCTGGTTTCCTTGACCAGTAAAGCGAGATGAGCGCAGCAACCCCAGAATCAGCCACAACTGGATCTAACGGTCAGGGGTCCCTTTACCTTTACATGCCCTATGCCCTTAGTTAAATTGGAACCATGACACAGGGAAAGGGAATAGCTTAGTGGCAGAGGAACTGCTTTGCTCGCGCCACACTGAATTTTTTATTGATAAGAAATACTTTGGAAAACTTCCCTAAACAGGGCTGCCTTCAGATGTCTTCTAAAAGTCTGGTAGTTGTTGTTCTCTTTGACATCTGATGGGAGGGCGTTCCACAGGGCGGGTGCCACCACCGAGAAGGCCCTCTGCCTGGTTCCCTGTAGCTTTGCTTCTTACAGTGAGGGAACCACCAGAAGGCCCTCGGTGCTGGACCTCAGTGTCCAGGCAGAACAATGGGGGTGGAGACGCTCCTTTTGGTCTACTGGACTGAGGCAGTTTAGGGCTTTAAAGGTCAACACCAACACTTTGAATTGTGCTCGGAAACGTACTGGGAGCCAATGTAGGTCTTTCATGGGACATCCATGAAGTATTAAACAAGGCAACTACATAAGGACATGAATCATTCCCAAGGTATAATACTGATTGTCCATCAATCTTCCTGCCACACTTACCTCTCCCACCACACCAGTGTGGCATGCCACACCCTTTGAGAACCACTGGTATAGACAATACTGAACAAGGTCAATTAGCAAACTGAACCAAATCATCCCACCCCTGTTGCTATTGCAGCTAGGAGCATCTCACAGAACCCAAAAGGGCAAGGCTGAAAATTATGGGTCGAGAGGATAGAATTTGTGGGTTGAGCGGACAGAATTTGTTGCAGCCGTGCATGGGGAATGCAGGCAAAGTTGTTGCATATGCCAGGTGTTCAGGAAGCAAAGGTGGCAGCCCCTACCATCTGTTGTTGCAGATTTTTCTCAACGTGCCTTGTCAGTATGACTTGGGGAAAGGAAGGGAGAACACTCAGCCCTGCAAACCTCTTGTAGGAATTTTGCATTTTTTAAAAAATAATAATGAGTGAATGGCTGAGATTAGAAGCTAAAGTGGAACTGCCTCTTTCCACCAAACTCTCTGTGGAAACAGGAGTGGCAACTTAGCTGATGCCAAGACCTCTTCCACCATTAGTTGAGTTGCACCTTGCCACAACTGCAGCTTAAATATATTTCTATCTGCCTTTCCCATCTCCCCTCTTTCCAATTGCTCTCTGAAAGTATTTTATAGAAGAAACGGCTACCCATTAAAAAAAAAAAAAATCAGCAATGCCCATCTTCATGAAACAGGCAAGACCAATGTTGCCCTATCTGAAAATGGTGCCTTTTCTGAATCCTCTTAGCCACTGGCAAAACTCAAGTTTTGTTTAACACCAAGTTGGCCGTGCAGATTTTAGAAAATCTCTCCCAAACCTGGGCATCACCACTCACTTCCTTGATCGTTGGAGAGACATTCTGGAAGACGTTGGCACTGGATTTCTTCCTAAGAGCCCAGAACTCCACGGTGGGAATTATGAAGGGGTGGGGGAGACTTCCAAGCCTTCTGCCATTTCCCTTCCCCTTTGGAAGATATGAGATCTGGGAAGAGATGATGAAACTGGGTCACAGCACCAGGCAAAGGAAAAGACAAGGAGCGGAGGGGGGTGGAAAAGGCCGTCATTAGACCCATCTGACACACCCCCTCTGGACACGCAGATACAGTACCGTCACCCCCTCTTGGCTAATCTTTGCAGAGGAGCCGGGGGGCACCAGAGATAAATCAAGGGACAGATGCACCTGTTCCGAAAACTGGCATCTGTAAATGGGAGCTTGAGCCAGGGTGGGAGTATGTGTGTTTAAAAGAGGAACCAGTCCGGGAAGGGACCGGGGGGGGGGGCGAGTTTTCTAAAAAAAGATCAGAGCAGATGGAGCAACAGAAAGATTCCATCACATGGGTAAAGATCCAGCGAGGACGGCAGACCCGCCATTTGAGACTAGTGGCGTGCAAGCATTGGGCCCAGTCTCTATGGGCACTGCAGCCCCTCTCCTCACCAGGGATGGGGAAAGAATTCGATTTGGTTCTCGTTTGAAGGTGAACGGCCCTTTACAAAGCAAGACGCAGCCGTCCTTTGGGATTCGCGCTTCTCTGAATTTTGCGGTGCGGTTCTCTGACCAAACGATGTTTGCAAAAAAAGTAAAAATGCGTAGATTATGGGACACGGTGCAGATTCGGGGAAGGGGCAGGGAGAGGAGAGGGCAGAAGTACGGTTGTGCAACCACGTGAGGAGCAATTGAGGGAGTTGGCCATGTTTAGCCTGGAAAAGAGAAGACCCAGATGTGATAGGATAATAATAATAATAATAAATTTTATTTATACCCCGCCCTCCCTGGCCAGAGCTGGGCTCAGGGCGGCTAGCACCAGTAAAATTACCGTAAAAACATAATAGGGGGAAAACCAATTTAAAATACAGGTTAAAATGCAATTTAAAATGCAGCCTCATTTTAAAAATCAAAACCGTAAGGGGAGGGAAACATAAGGGTCAGACTGAGTGCAAGCCAAAGGCCAGGCAGAACAGCTCTGTCTTGCAGGCCCTGCAGAAAGATGTCAAGTCCCGCAGGGCCCTAGTCTCTTGTGACAGAGCATTCCACCATGTCGGGGCCAGTGCTGAAAAGGCCCTGGCCCTAGTTGAGACCAATCTAACCACCTTGTGACTTGGGACCTCCAAAATGTCATCTGTGGACCTTAAGGTCCTCCGCGGGGCATACCAGGAGAGCCACCTTCAGATGCCCACAAGGGCTGCCATGTGGAAGATGGAGCAAGCTTGTTTTCTGTTGCTCTGTAGAGTAGGACCCAAACCAAGGGGTTCAAACTGCGAGAAAGGAGGTTCTGACTAAACATGGGAAGAACTTTCTAAGAGCTGTTTGACAGTGGAAGGTGGAGTCTTTTGGAAGGTGGTGGACTCTCCTTCCTTGGAGGTTTCTAAACAGAGGTTGGATGGTCATCTGCCAGGGATTCTTTAGCTGAGATTCCTGCATTGCAGGGGGTTGGTCTAGATGACCCTTTGGGGTCTCCTTCAGCTCTACAGTTCTATGATTCTAAGCATAAATCCCGGCACTAAATCCAAAAACAGTTTTGTGGGGCCCTGTATTTGTTACGCCTGTATGTTCAGCATTTATGTTTTTATTTTAAAGCTCTTCTACTGAAGGAACTTGGGGACGATGCGACAAACATCTCTATAAATTATAGGCTTGATTCCTAACTCCAGACCAGACATGTCAGGAATGTTGTTGTTTTTTTATTTGCTTGGCCGTTTTTCAGTAATAATAATAATAATAATAATTTATATCACACCCTCCCCAGCCAAAGCCAGCCTCAGAGCGGCTAACAACAGTAAAAATAACACAGTTTACAGAAAATCACAATCAATTAATTGAAATACATTCTAAAATAAATTCATTCTAAAATCAATTCAGAGTCAAATTAATGGCAACCATTGGGCTAGAGTTCTATGAGGATTACCAAAGGAGGGGGTCAGGCTGTGCCCTGACCAAAGGCCTGGTGGGACAGCTCTGTCTTGCAGGCCCTGCGGAAAGATGTCAAGTCCCACAGGGCCCTGGTCTCTTGTGACAGAGCGTTCCACCAGATCGGGGCCACAGCCGAAAAAGCCCTGGCTCTGGTTGAGGTCAGCCTAACCTCCCTGTCGCTTGGGACTCCAAGATGTTTTTGTTTGAAGACCCTAAGGTCCTCCATGGAGAGGCGGTCCTGTAGGTACGAGGGTCCTAGGCAGTATAGGGCTTTAAAGGTTAAAACCAGCACCTTAAACCTGATCCTGTACTCCACCAGGAGCCAGTGCAGTTGGTATAGCACTGGGTGAATGTGATCCTCCAGCAAGGACCCCGTAAAGAGTGTTGCAGCGGCATTCTGCACACGCTGGAGTTTCTGGGTAGCCCCACGTAGAGTGAGTTACAATAATCCAGCCTGGAGGTGACTGTCACGTGGATCACAGTGGCTAGGTCAGGGCGAGAGAGGTAAGGAGCCATTTATTCCGTTTATGAATCACGTCCCATAAAATATCTCAGAGCAGTTCCACGGGGGGGACATCAACAACAGAAGCAATCGAAAACAATTCCATATGTAGAAGCAATTTACAATAATACAGTCATACCTCGGGTTACAGACGCTTCAGGTTGCACGTTTTCGGGTTGCGCACCGTGCCAAACCCGGAAGTACCAGAATGGGTTACCTCTGGGTTTCGGTGCTCGCGCATGCGCAGAACCACTAAATCGCGCTTTGCACATGTGCAGAAGCACCGGATCGCGACCCATGTGTGCGCAGATGCGGCGCTGCGGGTTGCGAATGCTGCAGGTTGTGAACGTGCCTCCTGCACAGATCACGTTCGCAATACGCCGGGGTCATGTCGAATTTAGAAGGAAGAGGAGGAGAATTCAAAGCGAAAAGTTAATTGTGACTTAGGTCCCACTGAAATAAATGGGACTTAACTAAGGAGTGAGAAACTTGATTCCATTTTCATTTAAAGCCAAACCCATCAAGTTTGCATTTTCTGAAACAACGTATGAACCAAACCAAAGCACAACCGTCCTTTGAAATTTGCAGTTGTCCAAATGTTATGATGCAGTTCCCCAAACGCTGTTTCCAAAAGCACATATACGAGGGGGAAACCTGTGTTAAAAAATGGCTATATTAGTGAAAACAAAATACAAAAATGCATTATATGATGAGGAAACGTTTGCAAAGATGTTAAGTCAAAACTGTACACAAAATATATTTTCATTAGAAAAAATTCTCCCTAAAATGCTGTTGAATTTTCCTGGGGATTTGAAAAAAAAAATATCTGCTAATTATTTGATTTGTTTGTTTGTTTGTTTGTTTGTTTGTTTGTTTGTTATATCCCACCCATCTGGCTGGGTTTCCCCAGCAACTCTGGCTTCCAACAAAAGATTAGATTAAAACATCAGTCATTAAAAACTTCCCTAAACAGGGCTGCCTTCAGATGTCTTCTAAAAGTCAGAGCACTTTTATTTCTTTGACATCTGATGGGAGGGTGTTCCACAGGGCAGGTGCCACTACCGAGAAGGCCGAGAATGAATGTGGAAATGTGGAGAACTGGATTTAAAGTTGCAAATCAATAGAAACGGAGAGAAACAGAGTTGACAGATCCTTCTACCCTCTAGACCCAACAGACCAATCCTGCCTGGGAGAAATAAGTCTCATTGGATTCAATGGGACTTGCTCCCGGGTAAATAAGTGTAGCCAAAATGGCTCCCTCCAGACATTTCCAGACCATTGGCCACACTGGCTGGGCCTGATGAGAACTGGGAGTCCAACATCTTGAGGGAACCTGGTTGGCTATCCCTGGATTGCAGTCTATGTGCAACTAAGCTGGTCTGAAGGACCCAATTCAACATCACAGCTGTTCCTCCTCCTGCACATTTGTTGTTGTTTAGTTGTTTAGTCGTGTCCGACTCTTCATGACCCCCTGGACCAGAGCACGCCAGGCACTCCTGTCTTCCACTGCCTCCCGCAGTTTGGTCAAACTCATGTTCATAGCTTCGAGAACACTGTCCAGCCATCTCATCCTCTGTCGTCCCCTTCTCCTTGTGCCCTCCATCTTTCCCTACATCAGGGTCTTTTCCAGGGAGTCTTCTCTTCTCATGAGGTGGCCAAAGTATTGGAGCCTCAGCTTCACGATCTGTCCTTCCAGTGAGCACTCAGGGCTGATTTCCTTCAGAATGGATAGATTTGATCTTCTTGCAGTCCATGGGACTCTCAAGCGTCTCCTCCAGCACCAGAATTCAAAAGCATCAATTCTTCGGCGATCAGCCTTCTTTATGGTCCAGCTCTCACTTCCATACATCACTACTGGGAAAACCATAGCTTTAACTATACGGACCTTTGTCGGCAAGGTGATGCCTGTTGTCTTTGTCCATGGAGTTTTCTTGGCAGGGATGATACTGGAGTGGCTTGCCGGTTCCTGCTCCAGGTGGATCACGTTTGGTCAAAACTCTCCACTATGACCTGTCCATCTTGAGTGGCCCTGCACGGCATAGCTCATAACTTCTCTGAGTTATCCAAGCCCCTTCTCCATGACAAGGCAGTGATCCATGAAGGATTTACACTGCAGCAACTCTGTCCTGAAGGGGAAAGAGGGTCCCCTCTTTTGGGTCACAATATCCTGGAGAAGCTGGAATGGAACCAGGGCCGGATTTAGGTTTGATGAGGCCCTAAGCTACTGAAGGTAATGGGGCCCTTTATATGTCCAGCTGTCCTTTGTCAACAACAAATTGTCGCTGTTTTTTTGTGTTGAATATATGCTATATGGTAATTTATGGACCTAAAGCTATTTGCACATAAGAAAATATGTATTTTATCAAAGTAATTGTTGAAAAGTCCATGCAGAATACAAAGTCCATGCAGAATGTAGGCACCCTACATATAGAAATGAGCAAACCAGTGATATTTTAGGGAGCAGGCTAGCAGGCGGGGTCCATTACTTACATCGTAGGAGCCTACACAACACAAAACACTGTTGCTGTATGTAGGTTTTATTTTATTTGTTTTTTTATCTTATATTCTGGAAATGTACATCCAGTTGTTTTTTTCCTTTAATTTTTTGGGGGGCCCTAAGAGAGTGGGGCCCTAAGCTACAGCTTGTTTAGCTTATACGTAAATCTGGCATTGGATGGAACCCACAGCTGTTTCACAGCAACATCTTCCCTTTAAAAGCTCAGAATGAATGAACCCTCCCTCACTGGGAGCGTGTGTGAAGTGTCAAGGCAAGCACTAGGTGGCGCCATAGCATGCTGGACAGAGCACTTTGGCAATTTGTTCCACTCCGGAGTCAAGAGGAACTCAATGCTTGATTTATTTGATCTGAAGGTGCCGTGGAAGGGGCCAGTAGCTCCATGGTAGATAACTCTTGTAAGACAATAAAATACAGCGGTACCTTGGTTCTCGAACTTAATCCGTTCCGGAAGTCCATTCCAAAACCAAAACATTCCAAAACCAAGGCGCACTTTCCCATAGAAAGTACAGTCATACCTCGGGTTACAGATGCTTCAGGTTGCGTTTTTTCGTGTTATGAACCACCAAAACCCAGAAGTATTGCAATGGGTTACTTCCGGGTTTCGGAGGTCGCGCATTCTAGATTGCGTTTTGCGCATGCGCAGAGGCACCGAGTTGCAACCCGCGTGTACGCAGACGCACCACTGCGGGTTGCGAACGCTGCTGGGTGCGAACATGCATCCCACACGGATCACGTTCGCAACCCGAGCGTCCACTGTAATGTAAAACGGATTAATTTGTTCCAAGCTGTTGAAAATCTACCCCTAAAATTTCTTAGAACTTTTCTGGCTTCCCCCAAAACTCCTTGGGAAATCCCACCCACACAAGAATCTGGGACAAATTTCCATCTCACATAATTTCAGCTGACCTAAAAGAGAATTACTTTAAGATCCTTGACCAATGGTACTTAACACCCTACAGATTAAACTTAATATATAAGTTGGCATCAGACAAATCCTGGACCTGTGAATCGAGTAAAGCGGGCTATATAAACAACTTTCGGAATTGCTTTCAGTTACAAACATATTGGAAATCTGTCCAGGCTAATATTTCTGATACAGTAGGCTATCTTATGGTGCTGGAGGAGACTCTGGAGAGTCCCATGGACTGCAAGAAGATCAAACCTCTCCATTCTTAAGGAAATCAGCCCTGAGTGCTCACTGGAAGGACAGATCCTGAAGCTGAGGCTCCAAGACTTTGGCCACCTCATGACAAGAGAAGACTCCCTGGAAAAGACCTTGATGTTGGGAAAGATGGAGGGCACAAGGAGAAGGGGACGACGGAGGACGAGATGGTTGGACAGTGTTCTCAATGCTACCAGCATGAGTTTGACCAAACTGCGGGAGGCAGTGGAAGACAGGAGTGCCTGGCGTGCTCTGGTCCAGGGGCTCACGAAGAGCCGGACATGACTAAATGACTAAACAACAAGGATATCATATACCGTTAGGTCCTAAATATTTCTACTTCATTATCTGAAGGGCGTTATCTCAGAAAATGATCGAGAAATAGTAATTTTATAACTGTTGCAAAGATAGCTAAGATTTGCAGTGGTGAAGAGGTAACATCTCCTACTGTATGTGAATGTTTTGCGGGGGGAAAGGGGTTCTAGTAACTGATTAAGTTAAGTTGTTATAAAATAATACATATAAATCAACCTAACAGGTTTGGGGTGGAGGAATAGTATTTTTGGTAGTGTTTTGGAATAGTAAATTTAATGATAGTCGAAACAAAATAAAAAGAGTTCTTCCAGTAGCACCTTAGAGACCAACTACTGTATTTTTTGCTCTATAAGACTCACTTTTCCCCTCCTAAAAAGTAAGGGGAAATGTGTGTGCGTCTTATGGAGCGAATGCAGGCTGCGCAGCTATCCCAGAAGCCAGAACAGCAAGAGGGATTGCTGCTTTCCCTGCGCAGCGATCCCTTTTGCTGTTCTGGCTTCTGAGATTCAGAATATTTTTTTTCTTGTTTTCCTTCTCCAAAAACTAGGTGCGTCTTGTGGTCTGGTGCATCTTATAGAGCGAAAAATATGGTAAGTTTGTTATTGGTGTGAGCTTTCGTGTGGTTGGTTCGTGCATTTTGTTTCCACTACGGCAGACCAACACGGCTATCTACCTGTAACTAGATTTAATGATCGTGTTCAACTTTTCAGCCTGTTGGAATGGTACAAATATTTCTTAATTGATATGTTGGTTTCCGTTATTTAACCTAAATATATTTTTAAAAAAGAAACACCAAATTTTCAGCCCAAAAACTAGGGGACGTTTGTTGGGAAATCATAGCCGCAACCAATGTCTAATTGAGTGTTTCATTTCCATTGTGTGGGGCCAAAATGGCTATTTATCCTTCTGTTAATAATATCTCAGGAATGCCAAAGGGGAGCGAGGCTCTCACGCTTTTGCGCCATTTCGGCTGAGTTCTCTGGACCCGAGATACCCTATATTATTTACTATCATTTATTCATTTTTAAGAGGCTTTTCAACTCTTGAACTCTCCCATGGAAACAACCGGACCAACTTTCTCTGCTTGCGAACACAGAGAGAATGTGCGGTAACTAATATATATATATTTTCAAAGCAAAACAAAACTAGGCTATCCTTAAACACAACACAGCTTTCTTGGGGGGTGCCCAGAAAAGGACACAGAGTCGGGTTTTGCGATGACACCGAAATGAAATATTTTGGTTTATGGAGCCCGTCAGGATGTGGGATATGACCCCCCTGGGGAACCAAGAATACTCTAAATCACCAGCCTCTCTGAGATGGAAGACGGCAAAGTCGTTTCCATTGTGTTTTCACAGTGACACTGCTCTGGCGACATGTTTTCCTTCCCGAGTTCAGCGGCGCAGGGAGGATTCTGACCCTGGGAACTTGCAGTAAAACGGGGGGAGATGGCTGTCGGGCCATCACCTGGTTAACCAAACAAAGCTCAGACCCTCTTTGCAAGAGAGTGTCCCAGCTTCCATTGCCTTGTGGGGGAGATTTGGGGACAACTTTTTAAAAACGTTGCAGCTATCAGGTTCGATGTAGCTCAGTATTGTCTGCGCAGCTTAGAATCATAGAATTGTTTTTTTGTTTTTTTAAAATATTTTATTAAGGATTTTCTTGTTTTACAGAAGTGTAGTGCCTCGTATTTTTTTTTCCATGTAACATTTTTACAAATCCGTTTCATTTGTTGAGGCATTAGGGGGAGAAGAAAAAGAAAAGAAAAAAGAAAGGGGGGTGGAGAGAGGGAAGATCTACATGCCCTCTTAAACAACCCAACAGTAAAATCAGAATCATAGAATTGTTGAGTTGGAAGGGATCGTGAGGGTCGTCCAACATCCCTGCAATGCAGGAATCTTTTGTCCAACACGGGGATTGAACCCACAGCCCTAAGATTAAGAATTTCATGATCTCCCGACTGAGCCAGTAACAGCTCTCCAGAGTTTCAGGCTGGGTTCTTTCCCAGACCTATCTGGAGAGGCCAAGCTGGGACCTTCTGCATGGCAAATACCATATTTTTCGCTCTATAAGACGCACCAGACCACAAGACGCACCTAGTTTTTGGAGAAGGAAAACAAGAAAAAAAATATTCTGAATCTCAGAAGCCAGAACAGCAAGCAATCCCTCTTGCTGTTCTGGCTTCTGGGATAGCTGCGCAGCCTGCATTCGCTCCATAAGACGCACACACATTTCCCCTTACTTTTTAGGAGGTAAAAAGTGAGTCTTATAGAGCAAAAAATACGGTAGCTTGCTTACTCTACCACTGAGCTACAGCCCTTCCTTCTTCATGAGGTTATCCAAGATGTGGTCTCCTCCTTCCATCCATCAATGATTTCCTTCCACTCTTCCATTCTGTCCTTTCCTCGTTCTTTGGCCAAGATGTGGGATTCCTTCTTCCATTCTTGGTTGAGTTCCTTCCATTCCCTCTTTCTTCGGTTTTTCATTGAGATTCTTCTGTGCTCTCTGTATTCCATTCTTATTCTTATTCATTTATTTACTCTGGGCAGCATCCAACAAATTAAAACCCAAAAATCATTGAACGTTAAAAACCTTCCTGTAATAATAATTACACTGGGCAACAATTTTTTTACTTTTTGAATGTTGTCTAGATTTCTACAACTGATTTAGGGTATTTTTGCACTGCTGAATCAGGAAATGGCATCCGTTTCTCTCCATCAGGTCAGGTTTTCTGTAAACTGAATGGTGGGCATTGATAAAGGTAAGTACACGTAAATTGCATGTTGCTTCACCATTTTTCAAACTTCAGGGCTTGAACTTCTGTTTCTTGGAACTCCTGGAATGCTCAGCGGCACGGAGGTCTTTCTTCAGAGTCCAACAGTAGTCAGCCATCATGACTGCGTCCCAGCGACCCTGATATCTGGTCTCCATCTCTTTCATGTCCTGATGGAATCTCTCCCCCTGCTCGTCACTCATTGAACCCAGGTTCTCAGGAAACCGGTCCATATGTGAAAATAGGTAGTGCATCTTGACGCTCATGTTGCAGCCCAGGTTTCTGAAAGCAGTCAGCATGTTGTTGACAAGTTCTGCGTAGTTTCTGGCCTTATTGTTGCCAAGAAAGTTCTTCACTACCAGAACAAATGCCTTCCACGCTTCCAGTTCCACTTCGTTCATTGAGTTTCCGAACTCTGGATCTCTGATGAGCTGACGGATCTGAGGACCGTCAAAGATGCCAGCTTTCAACTTCTCCATGGTCAATCCTGGAAAAGCCTGGCACAAGTAAATGAAGCAGTCACCATCCTTGTCCAGAGCCTTGATGAACTGCTTGATTAAGCCGAGCTTGATGTGCAGCGGTGGGAAGAGTATTCTGTCTCTGTCCACCAGAGGGTCGTTGATGACGTTCCTTTCTTTGCAAGGCACCAATTCCTCCGGCACAGGCCAGTCCTTCTTCGTGTAATGCTGAGCACGGTCCCTACTATCCCACATGCACAGAAAACATGGGTACTTGGTGAAGCCAGACTGTTGTCCCAACAAAAAGTTCACCATCTTCAGGTCGACACAAATAAACCACTTATGCTGATCATAAGCAATTTTCTCCAGCACATACTTCACCGCTTCATAGTTCTCCTTCAGTGTACTCGAGTGAGCCAGGGGTATAGATAATAATAATAATAATAATAATAATTTATTATTTATACCCCGCCCATCTGGCTGGGCTTCCCCGGCCACTCTGGGCAGCTTCCAAAAGAATATTAAAATACTATAATACATCAAACATTAAAAGCTTCCCGAAACAGGGCTGCCTTCAGATGTCTTCTAAAAGCCTGGTAGTTGTTGTTCTCTTTGACATCTGGTGGGAGGGTGTTCCACAGGGAAGGCGCCACTACCGAGAAGGCCCTCTGCCTGGTTCCCTGTAACTTGGCTTCTCGCAGTGAGGGAACCGCCAGAAGGCCCTCAGTGCTGGACCTCAGTGTCCGGGTAGAACGATGGGGGTGGAGACGCTCCTTCAGATATACTGGACCAAGGCCGTTTAGGGCTTTAAAGGTCAGCACCAACACTTTGAATTGTGCTCGGAAACGTACTGGGAGCCAATGTAGGTCTTTCAAGACCGGTGTTATGTGGTCTCTGCGGCCGCTCCCAGTCACCAGTCTAGCTGCCGCGTTCTGGATTAGTTGTAGTTTCCGGGTCACCTTCAAAGGTAGCCCCACGTAGAGCGCATTGCAGTAATCCAAGCGGGAGATAACCAGAGCATGCACCACTCTGGCGAGGCAGTCCGCAGGCAGATAGGGTTTCAGCCTGCGTACCAGATGGAGCTGGTAAACAGCTGCCCTGGACACAGATTTGACCTGTGCCTCCATGGACAGCTGTGAGTCCAAAATGACTCCCAGGCTGCGCACCTGGTCCTTCAGGGGCACAGTTACCCCATTCAGGACCAGGGAATCCTCCACACCTGCCCGCCTCCTGTCCCCCAAAAACAGTACTTCTGTCTTGTCAGGATTCAACCTCAATCTGTTAGCCGCCATCCAACCTCCAACCGCCTCCAGGCACTCACACAGGACCTTCACTGCCTTCACTGGTTCTGATTTGAAAGAGAGGTAGAGCTGGGTATCATCTGCATACTGATGAACACCCAGCCCAAATCCCCTGATGATCTCTCCCAGCGGCTTCATGTAGATGTTGAAAAGCATGGGGGAGAGGACAGAACCCTGAGGCACCCCACAAGTAAGGGCCCAGGGGTCTGAACACTCATCCCCCACCACCACTTTCTGAACACGGCCCAGGAGGAAGAAGCGGAACCACTGTATAACAGTGCCCCCAGCTCCCAGCCCCTCAAGACGGTCCAGAAGGATGTTATGGTCGATGGTATCAAACGCCGCTGAGAGATCCAGCAGAACTAGGAAACAGCTCTCACCTTTGTCCCTAGCCCGCCGGAGATCATCAACCAGTGCGACCAAGGCAGTTTCAGTCCCATGATGAGGCCTGAATCCCGACTGGAAGGGATCCAAATGGTCCGCTTCTTCCAGGCATGCCTGGAGTTGTTCAGCAACCACTCGCTCAATCACCTTGCCCAAGAATGGAAGATTTGAGACTGGGCGATAGTTGGCTATCGTGGCCGCATCTAAAGATGGTTTGTTAAGAAGCGGTTTAATAACCGCCTCTTTCAGCGGGTCTGGGAAGGCTCCCTCACGGAGGGAAGCATTCACCACCCCACGAAGCCCATCGCCCAGTCCTTCCCGGCTAGCTTTTATAAGCCAGGATGGGCAAGGATCAAGGAGGCAAGTGGTTGGTTTCACTCGTCCAAGCAGCCTGTCCACATCCTCGGGGGTAACAGATTGGAATTGATCCCACACAACTTGACTAGACAGGACTCTAGCACTCTCCCGCCCGGCCCTGCTCCCACGGTGGAGTCTACCTCTTCTCGAATCTGAGCGACTTTATCTGCAAAAACTTTGCAAAGTCATTGCAGGAGATCATGTGGCCGCTACTGGGCCCTGATGGAGCAGGTGGTTCCGCTAAATTGCGAACCACCTGAAAGAGTCTCCTGCTGCTGTTTTCCGCAGATGCAATAGAGGCGGTGAAGAAAGTCTTCTTCGCCGTCGCTATCGCCACTTGGTAGGCTCGACATTGAGCTCTAACCCGTGTCCGGTCAGATTCAGAATGGGTTATCCGCCACCGGCGCTCTAGCCGTCTCAACGATTGTTTCATTGCCCTCAGATCCGTGGAAAACCACGGGGCTGTCCGGACTCCATGCAATCAGAGAGGGCGCTTTGGAGCCAAACAGTCAATAGCCCTGGTTAACTCCACATTCCAGCGGGCCACCAGGGAATCAGCTGAAAGGCCATCAACATGGAATAAAATATCCCCTACCACTCTCTGGAAACCATTTGGATCCATTAAGTGGCGGGGGCGGACCATCTGAATCGGTCCCGCCTCCCTGCAGAGGGGAAGGGTCACGGAGAAGTCCAGTTGCACCAGGAAGTGATCTGACCATGGCACTTCTTTGGTTTCGCTTTTACTTAATGTCAGATCACCAACATCCATAGAGGTGAACACCAGGTCTAAGGCATGCCCGTGGCTATGAGTTGGGCCAGACTTATTCAGGGACAGCCCCATGGAGGCCATGCTTTCCACGAAGTCCCGAGCGGCCCCTTGTAAGGTCGTGTCGGCATGGATGTTAAAGTCCCCTAGGACAACCAAACTAGGTGTCTCCAGGAGGACATCCGCCACGACCTGAAGCAGCTCGGGCAGGGAATCCTTGGTGCAGCGGGGAGGTCGGTACACCAATAGGAATCCTGTACTGCCCCTATTGCCCAACTTCCAGAACATGCACTCAGAGAACTGGGTCTTTCCAATAGGACGCCTGGTGCAAACTAATGACTTCCTAAAAATCACTGCAACCCCCTCCCCGCCCACAAGGCCTGGGTTGCTGTGCGTAAGAGAAACCTGGTGGACAAGCAGCGGCAAGGACGGGCCCATCTGCTTCATCCAACCAGGTCTCTGTCACACATGCCAGGTCAAATCCTCCATCCACAATCAGGTCGTGGATGGCAGAGGTTTTATTCATCATTGACCTGGCATTACACAGCAACACTTTCAGGTCATGCGGGTTTCCCTTGTTGATTCCAGTATCCTTCCGGTCAGGACCAGACCTGGAGGCAAACTGGTTGCCGTTGTGTAGCAGAACACATTTCAGTGATCACTTGCTGCTGTCAATGAACAGTCTCCAATCTGTGGGTTCGTACTGTGGCACTCTATGCTTGAGCAGAAGCTGCGCAATATCTGCACACAGTACAGCAAGTCCTTCTCTTCCGAGAAAAAACGGAGGTACTCTTGATGCCTGTTGCGGAAGAAGCTGATTCGAGCACTGTCAGAGAGGAGGGTTTTTTCCTTCAATCTGGATGCCAACAGTTCGGCAAAGTCCTTTGACAAGCTGCTGAGAGCTTTGAAGGTCAGCACCAACACTTTGAATTGT